CTGTCATCCCCGTCCCTACTATACCACGAAACATCCCGAACCCCCCCTCAAACAAGCCTTAAATCCAACGTGCTGCCAAACCTCTCCCACCGTCTGAAGAAACAACCGGGAAGCAGAGTTTCAGGGCGGACGAGTTCGAGTTCGAAGAAACAGAACTCAACTGATGGAAACACATGGAACACATTCATCCTCTCCCCACCTCGGAGTTCAAGCGTAGTGCCTGCCTCCTCAGTCGTTCTGCCTCTTCCAGCTCCGCGTAGCGCTGCCGCCACGGTGCCAGCTGCGCGTGCTCCGCGTCGGAGGTCGGTGCCAGCTGCGCATTGGCGCAAAGAAAACGGTCGCAGTGCAGCTGATGTTGTTGGACCCACCAGGCTAACTCCATAGAGGTCAGCTGGAAAGCCAAGATCCGCAAGACCTCCATAGTGCTGAGAAGTAGTGAGCTGATCAAGGAAAAAGGCGACCGTGGTTGGTGAATGACAAGAACATCAAAGAAACACAAACAATGATTGGGGCGCAATGTTTGTGTTGCTTCAATGGCGACTTCACAAATGAGCTCAGGAAAATAGGGCTTTGACCTTTCCATGCTTTCTTACCCCCCCACAAGTATTTCAATACATGAAGCATCATGAAGCACTGCCACAACCCCTCACTTCCACCTGTGCAGCTTTCAGTACTTGTTCCGTCTCACTCGAGCTTTCCGCCACATATCCAGCTCGTTGTGCCATGGTCCACACGCTCTCCACCACCTCATCTCGCCAGCCGCTCGGCAGCACTCGCTCGGCGGCCCGAGCGGCCGCAGCTGCAGCCTCGACTTCCCAGGTCGAGGACTGAAGCCGATGCTGCTGCTGGAGGTGCTGCAAACCTTGAGACATGTGGACCGTCCAATCAGTGGATTGATTCCTTCGATGAATGAGAGGCAACTGCTAGGCAACTGCTAGGCAACATGAGGCAACTGCTAGAATGAAGTGAATCAATTCATTGATTGAGGGAGTCACCAATACAACCGGGGCTTGGATAGAAGGATCATTTCATCATTTTCTATTATGTAAAACATCTCCAACTGCCACGCCACGGCGTCGTTGCTCCCCAAGCTCTGTGGCCACAGTGGAGGCCTCTGCCTTGAGTTTCGCCAGCTCCAAAGAGCTATGGGACTGGGCCGCTTCCTAGCAGTGGCTGGGGCGGACGGTGTAGTTATGAAGTTGTTGAATGTTGTCGACCAATCTGTCTTGTGCTGCTACGATTACCACTCGTCGTGCGACCCGGTTTTTGGGGGTGGTGGCCCGGGTCCCACCTCAGCGGGCCCTGTGGGCCCGCTACCTATTAGATACACTCCCTGGAACAGTCATGGAAGTGGATGGCATGGTGTGTTGGATGATGATGAAATCTGAATACCAAACAGGTGGTGAACTCCACTTTCGTCCATGATTGTTCCAGGGATTGTAGGGCTTCCATTTGACACCCCTTGGATGGTCCAGGCCCCCAGGCATGATCTTGAACAACTGCCATTTCAGGATGGATTATTGTATATAACCATATATATAGTTTGATGGTACAAGTCACTCCCTAGCTTTCAGCCAGCCAGGCACCTGGAACAAACCCAAGAACATATCTCAAAATGTCCAACGCTTAGATCAACAACTTGCAAAAAAGACCGAGAAGACTCCCCCAAGTGATGTAACGATACAGCAACACATCAAACAACTTCCCCCCAGCCTGTTCCATCACCCAAACAGGAAGAAACATCTCATACAGAATTCAAGCCCCACGCCTCCAAAAATTGATGGGGGACAATCAAACCCCACATGACGATAAAGAACCGATCATGTAGACTCTTGATTAATAAACCCCCCATATGAAGAGGATCTCCAATTCAATTGGGAGGGCTTTTTAATGAAGAGTCTACATTACACACACAGAAAGTTATCCCTGATCCCAAGACTTCCTCCATGGAGATTTGGGCCATGACTTCCTCATGGAGTCGAAATGAATCTGCAGCAGCTCGGTCGTGAGCTCTCCTGGCCACCGCCGCGGTGGACGGGTCGAAGGAGCAAACGCGGCTTCGGAAGTGCTCGGCGCTGAACTGGGCATCGAGGGCTTCTTGCTGGAGCTCTTTCCGGAGTGCCAGCAGTTGTCCCAAGACCTCAGTGCCCCAGGTGTTGTCACTTGCAAGTTGGAACATAGAAACCTGATCACAAGTAGCAGCTGCTAGCTGCTAGCTGCTAGTCGGATCTATATATTAGTTGGTTCAAAGTTCAAAGGACTTGAGGTCTTGGAGTCTTCATCACTCTTCTTCCTTTTCCAAGATGGAATCTCTCCCTGCCTCTTGAAACTCCAAAAGGTCAATCGTCTCGGACGATTCCACCAGCTGTGCCAACCGGCGCACGAGCCGCGCCGGCACACGCCGCAGGACTGGGAGCCGCTGCGACGTCGATGGTGCCAGGGAATCATCGAGGTCCTGGTGCAGAATCGGCAGATGCGATGTCTGCAACTTGATCTAGAAATCTATACCCTCCCTTTCATGGTCATTGTAAGGGTTGACTACCCACTTTTGGACAAAGAGCGGGGGAAGCTCCTACCATTTCATTCTGACCACCCCTCAGGGTGATAATCTAACTATATCTAACTACACTCCCTGGAACTAACATGGAAGTGGACAATGGCCTCTTTGAAGATCATTTTCCTCTACAAACAGGGTATCTTCCACTTCCATGTTAGTTTTAGGGAGAGTGCTGTATGTCCTTTTTTGCCCGTAGTCCGCAGTTCCATGTCGTCCCAGATTCCAAGGGTGAGACTCTGGGCAGGATCGAACGTGAGCCGACAGCAGGGGGCTCACACAGAGCCGGACCCCAAGGCCGAAAGGAGGGGAAAGTGAGGTGAACTCCACTTCCTGGTTTGTTGGATCAAGGCCAAGGGTTTTTAGATGTTTTTAGGTGACCGGTAGGTGTATCATAGGCTCAAGGACGAGCAGAAGAGAGGTTTGATTCGTAGGGTGTTAATATCAATTGACCTGGTCACAAGTGGTCCTGCCAATTCTGCAAAGCTTTTCGCCTTTCGACCTGCTCGGCATTGTCCCGTCGCAACGTGGCTAACTCCTCAAGCAGCTTGGAGGCTTCAACAGGCTGGGCAGAACCGCTCTCCAGTGGCACCGCTCTTGGCGGAGCACTCCTCCTCAAGGTTGATGTGGGCGCTGACTCCGTTGAGGCCGCCGCAGAACGTGCGACTCGGAAGCTCCTGAGACGCGCCTGCTGCACGGCTTGCATCTTCGTCAACACCCCCAGGCGCCCCAACAAGGAGGCCAAGAGATCTTCAGAGGGATGGTTCATGCAGCTTTCGGCGACTTGGAGCTCGTCGTGAAGAGTTTCTAAGCTCTCCTCAGCCTCGTAGATCTCCCTCTTCTGGACCTTTCTCTGCTTCTCATGCATCAAGATTTCCTCTTGCTGCTTCATCATCTGGGCGGCTTCTTCTTCAAGCCCTTCCACTAACCTCTCAGCTTGCAATAGATCTGCACGGCCAAGCTTCTCTAGCTTCTTCCTTCGTCCATCCACTTCTTCCCGCTGAGCACGAAGTCTCCGCAGCTCCTCCGTGTAGCACTGCCCCTCCTGCTTCCATCATGGGAGTTTTTTCTTGAACGTGTGTGTGTGTCTTAGATTTAGACAGTCCAACTGGCGGAAATACATGCAAACCCACGCGTGGGGAGGGGTTGCTTAGCTATCCCAATCTTTTGAAGCAAAAAGATTGTGGTGAACGCCAATGTTTCAAGACTCTGTTCTTCATACAGAGTGTCCTCCAGCCAGTGCTGTTCTCCATACCTTGGATTCTCCAAAGGCATCTCAGGGGAGAGATGAAGTGCAGAACGCCTGGCTCTGTGCTGCTGAACTGCAGACTGCACCATGCTCCAGACTTCCTTCCCCAACTGTTCTCGAAGCACCTGCACTGCTGACGGTTGGCGGTGCACGCTCTCTCAGCGTGCAAGTTTGGCCTTTTGTGATTGAACATGACATATTCAACGAGCTCAAACAATCCGAAAATGGAATCTAGAAAAATTCTAGTTTGAAGTTCGAAGCAAGCATTAATTGGACAAATAACATCTAACATACGACCCAAACATCTCATAGCTGTGTGGGTATGTTGATGTTGCCGCAACAACCTCCTCCTCCTCCTCGTCCTCCTCCTCCCTGCTGGGCGCCTCTTCCTGTTTCTCTTTGCTCTCCTCCTCTAACCTTGGATCCCCAAAGAAAGCAAGAGCTTCTGCAAGAGATCCGAATGTACTACTTCATACTACTTCCACATTCCCGTTGGAGTAAGCAACAACAAGAACCCAACCCCAACTGGCCCCTAGAGTCAACAACAAAAGCCTCACTATTTCACCTAAAGCTCCCCTGATCTCCCCATGCTCAGTATGATCAGTATGTGTCTGGCCACTCTCTCAGCCTCTCAGCCAGCCGCGCTGCCACCACCTCCGCCGCCCGCCGGTCCTTCCGAAGCTCCTCGGCCGCCGCCGCTGCGGCGGCCGCGCGCTGCGCGGCGTGTTCGGCCTGGTGGAGCGTCTCGGCGCGGTGCTGTTCGGCGGCGTGGTGTCGCTCTTCGGCTTCTTGGAGGTGTTGCCTGAGAGGGTTTGTGGACTGCGAGGAGGACTAGGACCAGGACATGGACGATGTCCGCATCGAAGGGAGGAGACTGAGGATGAGGAACATGACGATCAAATGCGGTGTCTTGGGTCAAAGGCCGGAGCTTGGACGGTCTATGTTCCAAAACTCTTCTCAGTTCCATATAATCATGGATGTCCACATCACCTTTCAAACAGGCATTTCCAAACTTGGTGAACCAATACAGTAGAGACAGCAGGGTCAACTTACCAGAAGGGGTTAATCGTCACTCGGGTTCAAGCCTTTTCCTCTTCTGTGACGCGTTTTCCGCTTCTCACCCTCCAAGGGGGGTTTGCAAAGGTCAGGAGAAGTCAACCCCTTCCATGCGCAGAAGTGACCCTCATGAAGCCATGTGAGTGGATGTTTTGCCTTCACATCGCATGGCCCGCAACAAAAGGACGCGACCGGCTGCAGCATCAGGTGCTCAGCGCAAAAGAACCTCAAACTAAACAACTCACTCAGGTGCTTGAGGCCAATCACCTTGGACTGGACCAAATCCAGTTGTCGCTCCAAGGTTTCGATGTGGCCATCCTGCGACCGGCCGCGACGCGGCGCGACTGTGCTTCCCATGGCGCCAGGGCGAGGAGTTGCGGGGAGCAACGCCCAACTAGCGAACCGTGTTTTTTGGGGGGTGGGGCTGGGGAGACAACTCTTTCAGTGAAGCCTGCTTTCTTGAACCCATGTTCATCATCCGGATGTCATGCACATTCTCCTGACACAGGCCCTAAAGGGGACTGACTTGCCACATCTTTCTACTTGCTACCAGGCTCCATTTTCAGTGTCAATATTGGGTTTGTCTAGTGAAGAGCAGAACAAGGTGACAACAAGTTCCTTCTTCCGGGTCACGCTTTCCAATGCATGTTGAGTTATTGGCCAGCTGTATATAAATCTGAAAGCAAAATAGGAAGCTCGCCCTGAAGATTAGCATGGACCCTGAAAACCACTGGTTTATAGAGAAAAGCAGGCTCCATGCTCAGGGTCCATGTTGGTTTTGGGGAGTGGCTCGCCCGTCCTTCAACTCCAAAATCGCCAGAGTCTTGGTACTCTGCTCGGCCATCGGGGCCATCGCGGGCTCGGCCATGACAGGTCTAGCCAACGGAGGATCAGGGCTCGGCCCCTGCAATGATACAGGTAGTTACATGGTACCCAAAAGATTTCGAGATATTTTGAGGTTTCATGAGGTTCTGTTATCTATCTGTCTATCTATCTATCTTTTTGTGGCCTCCAAGTCGATAGAAAAGTAGATCCCCACTAAACATGTGTTGGAAACCGTTTCTGTCCATTTGGGGGCACATATAGACACCTATGATGTTTGGGGTTCCGACAGGGCGGCTCGCCCCGTGGTTCCGAACCTACTCAGTTCTTCTTCTGACCGGGTCAGTGTCAGGCGATCATCCCATGCCATCCTCCACCATTCACAACGCAGAAGGTGGGCTAGGCTAGACCATATAACTGCATCGTTGCGCGTATACTGAGTGTATACTAAGTGGGCAAAAGGACGTGACAATTGCCGGGTCAGTCAGCGCAGATTCATTTGGTCTTACTAAGGTCTTACCATTTTCTAGCTGGGGCCAAGGAAGGGGATCACCTAAGATCATGTCATGAAAATCGATCTGGCCACCGGGCAATACTATCCATAAATTTGCTGGTCAGGCGGTCAAATCTCTTAGTGGCCTGCTATGTCCTGAAATGGCTCACGACGCTTGGTGGAGCAGGTGCCATCAACTGCATCTGCTCACAATTGGTCATTCTGGCTGGAGTGTGCGTTGGACTCCTGTGTTGCTTAGCGATGCCAAACATGTAGAAGAGAGCTCAGCTGTTGATGCAGAAAGTGCAAAACTCTTTCAGAATCACACAAACACACACACACACACACCTCAGTGCTTGATTCTGTCTAGTGATGGCAGGACAGTCCCAGTTCAGATGGGCCTCAACATGCATTGTGCTGAACATGGATAAGGATCGGATAGCATCTTCCAATGAGTGAACCTCTTGTTTGCCTGATTGATCCCTCTCATCTCGAAGCTCGCTGTGGAGCGCCCCGCCCATTCTCTTGCCTTCCGTACTGCTGGAAGTGGCATAGAGTGGCTGTACTAGTGGCGGTTCATGGAGTTGGTCCTGTCTTTTTTTACACATATTTTGTGGCGCAACTTCAAGCACTGTTGGGTTGCTGACTTCTATTGCAGGCGGTTGGTTTGCCTGGTTTGGCTAGTTTTTGTTTCTTGGACGGTGCTTGATTGTCTGGAGCGTGGCATGACAGTGTCTGACTTCTGATTTGTTTGCTCTTCACTCTGCACCCTGCAGGACATCTTCCACCAAACGACTGCTGGAGGGAGGTTAAATAAATTTCTAGTCCAGTATATCTTTTGGAATCAGTTTCCCTTGAGAACTTGGAAACCGTGGTCGGCTAGCCCAGCTAGCCCCAGCTCCCCCTTCACATCTCAGCTCCGCCTTTTCTGGCGCTGCATTCCACATTCCTGGTTCTGCCTCCACTTCATGTCTCACACCCTGTGAGTTCCTGACCCCCCAAAAAAGGGCACGACTACATCACGCGACGCGGAGCCGTCACATTGGCGAGGCTCCAAAAAGGCATCTCGGGGTTTGTCTCAAAGGCATGTAGGAACCTTCCAACTCCTTCTAGGAGCTTGAGAGATTCTTCTTCCCTCTCCATTTTCTAAAAAGATCTAACAGCCTCTCCTTGAGATTGCACCCCAAGCTCTTGAGGTTTCCAGGTCAGACTTGGACTTCTTTGCATCCACTCCCTTGAGACAAACACCCAGACTCTGACTTCGACTTCCTCGCGAAGTCGAAGCTCGGCCACCGCGACCACCCCAACCACGGAGGATGTGGCGCCTCAGCGCGACCTGACACCGGTCTCCGGCGGAGTCTCCGGGAGGGGGGACTGTCAGAGTGGACTGTCCTTTGGACACCGGTCTCCGGGAGTGTTCCACTGACTTCATGGTTGGATGGAGAGACTGTCTGCATGTCGGTGTAGGTATGTGGGAATGTCGGACTGTCTTCGTTGAACACATCGAGAACCAACTGAACAAGCATGGGATGAAGCCTAAAAATCAGCTTCTACCCCAACCAGTTAATAACAGGACGGCGTGTCACACACCCGTCAGCTCGTTGACCCAATAATACTAATAGTTGATGATGTCTTATGTCAAAATCTGTTTGAAATTGTTTGAAACCACATCCAGGTATATACACTCCCGAAAACTCGACATAGACCCTGACGTCCTGGCCCCCTGGGTCCGAGTGTTTTCCTCCACCAACCAGTGGTTTTCAGGGTCCATGGGATCGTCTTCCAGGGTGCAACCATTCCGTAGGACCCCGTCTGCGAACCATCCTCAAAGAAGAGATGTCAGAGATGTCTTCCCCGTGCCTGATAGTTCTAGATCGCAGCATCCTGATAGCAAAAGCTGCAGTGCATTGCTCACCCCCTCAAGTTTCAGTGGAAAATCAAGGTTAACCTTTTCCACATGTTTGATTTGAGTGGGGTGCCCCCAATCCCCCATATATCAAGGGTGTTTGCAATCCACTTTGAAGAAGCACACAGCTGCTACACCCAACGAATGCGCTGAAGCAAAACTGAATCGGCTGGATGTCCCAATGGACCCATGGACTGAACGCACTACTCACGTGGCCCATAGACGTCGTTTCGCGTTGGGCGTTGGATTCTCATGACAAAGACGACATATCTTCACCCTCTTCAAGACCGTTTTCACTGTTTTCATCTGATCTCATGATCAGCTGCGCTTTCTGAGTCGCAGGCGCCAAGCTCTTTTCCGCCTGTGCCAACCTGGTTCAAACATGCAAAAATGGAGCTTTTCCTGTCACGGTGACCTACCTGACTATGTCTTCAACCTGCAAGCTCACCTGATGCGCAGACTTTCCACCACACCACAGGGCACTGACTTTCCCATCACTCCCGCTTTCAGGGGCCAGCCCAAAACCTGAGCAACACAAGTCTGTTGAGGCCCCACGCCGTTCTTCTGGCTGCACACGCCTCCTCTTGCGCCTGGCTCTCTTGGAGAATTGACGCTCTCGACAGTATATAACATCTACAAGGAAGAAGTCCACCAGGCTTTGCTTCCGAGAGCATCTTCGATCTATGGATGGCAGTAGCCACGGTCACTCAAAGGCGTGAATGAGACCCAGCATGCCTGGCATTGAGCTGTATCAGGATGAAGCAGATCCCAAGGATAATGGCAGTAGCAGGGTACCTGAAGCACAATGCTTTCTCCAAGCTTCGTTTGCCAAATTTTCCATGAGCTTGTTGAGTTTGGGGATCCGTTGTCCCTCCATTTCCCCTTTTCGATGATTGTCTGGGAGTTCTTTCAGGTGCTGCCTGCATTTGCACCGCCAAATTCCCATCCATTCTGGGAGTCCCCATGATCCTCATTGCTGGCACAACGCAAAGGCAGCTAAAAGCCATGGCCCCGCATTGTATGAGTGGTAGCAACACATGAAAGACTCAATTCGAAGGGGAGCAAAACACCACCAAGAAGGCAACACTAGCAACAGAAAGCGACACCAACGAGTTAGGAAGGCACATATCAACAAATCCCCTCCTACAACTGTAGCCGCCCCACCGGCATTTGATCCCGTCATCTTCTGTCCGTCCGCGCACGGTGAAACCACGATGGATTGGGCAATGGTGCAAATCAGCTCCATAAAGGCATCCGCATAGGCCGAGCGTTCGGAGCCCGCCACCACGAAGAAGTGATCTGGTGGGAAACCGCTGGGTGGAGCTGGGGAAGAGAGCTGGGTGGAGCTGGGTGGTGTGTCCGGCCGAGCTGTTCAACTGGAAAACAAAGATAACAAGGGTTAACAATTTTCCGCCTGTTTTTGTTTAGAGGGAAGATATATCCTTGAAAAATAACACCACAAAACACTTAAGGTTATCCACTGAGCGTGTGGGTGAAGCGGCGCGTTTTTCGGTCACTGAGGCTTCAGGCTGTAGCCTCGTACTGCTCGGATGGCCACATGCAGGTTTCCAGGCTCCGCCTAGGATGGATAGATGGGGCAAGTCACCAGGCAGCACAATGGAAAAGGTCCCCTAAGTCACAAAGCTGTCGACATAGCTTGACATAGCTTTTTCGGATTTATTTGGTTTACTTTTCCTATCTGCTTTGAGGTCGACTGGCACTGGCACTCGCGGCCACGTTAAATTGACTTCTATGGACCCGAATCAATGGATTTCCTATGGTTTCCTCTTGCCCTTTAGTCTTTCGGCCGGCACAGGAAGACCAACCAAATGGCATAGACAAACATCAAGCCAGAGTCACTCCACGACGAGGCCAGGAACTTGCCAGAGTGGGCATGAAGGGAACGGCTGGAGGCTGAGCATGTTATCTCTTTGATTCTGATGAGGTAAGTTGATGACGAGCCCCTCTCCAAGTGCAGTCCGACTATGCAAGGACTACACTCTGACGAACATATCACATGGAATTGGGAAGACCACAGGTGGTTTTCCACTTCCAATGTTAGTGAGTCAAAGAGTATATACTATTTCTGCAATCTACTGTAGCATCGAAAGTCACTTGCGATCGAAGAATAGGAACCGACGCGCTGCCCCACCAGCTGAGTGGCCCTGAAGCTGGCGATTCCCTCCCTTCTCGCTTCTTCGAAGTGCCCTTGCTGCACCGAGGAGGCCTCGGGTGTGGTGAACCAACACTGTGGCCAGTTCCGCGCCATCGGTTCAAGCTGGTGGATTCCAAGTGTCCCGAGGGTTGCGATGGTACTGTGGGTGGCCAAGCAGCCACGCATTCTTGCTACTGAGCGGTCCCAAAGTTGCTACAAGCTACTGATGCTGCTACTGCTCCTGCTGCTGCTGCTGCTGCTCCTGCTTCTGCTACTACTACTCCTACTACTACGACTACTACCACCACCACTACTACTACTACTACTACGACGACTCCTCCTCCTCCTCCTCCTCCTGCTGCTGCTGCTGCGACTGCGACTGCGACTGCTGCTGCGACTGCGACGGCGACGCGACGACGACAACTACTTCTACGACTACGACTACGACTACCACGACTCCGACTATGATGACGACGTTTACTACTATTACTACTACTGCTGCTGGTTCCCCTGAAGGTCAAACGAATGGCCAAAGGCGAGAAGGTATTCCAGATTGCTCGGGGTCAAGGCTCTAGGCTCTCTCACGGTGACCTGCAGCGTGCTGAGCTCATCACCAAGTGGGATCCAAGCTGAGCTTCAAACACCATGGGTTGAAACAAATTCTTCACTTCAAGGAGCTCAACACGACCGCACCAGGGCTCCAGGCCCATCCTTCAAGCTCCCAGATCATTCGGAAATGGGTCACTCCTGTGGGGCTCTCGATCCGTGCCTGGCGCGAGCTGGCGAGCTTCCGAGAGCTTTCCGTGCTGGGCGAGCTTCCGATGTGCCCTTGACCCCATGGATGACAAGTGAACTATCAATGCCCAAAGGCTTTTTGAGCAATGCCAGCCACGCCTTTTCGCCGGGATAGTAGGTCGCCAGCAGGGTGCCTTTGATGTCGCAAACGTAGACCTCATCAAGGATGGTAGGCGGCCTCATGTTAGTAAAACTCCTCCTTGAAACTAGGGGGTTGTGGGAGGTTCTTAGCCGCAGCAGCAGTGCTGCTTCTGGGGGCAGTGCCTCTGGTGTGTTTGAGGATGCAATTCGTTGCTTTCTTCGCCGGTCCCGACTGTCGCCGCTCAGTCGGTGTCTCCAAGCTGAACCATTTTGACACCTCGACCCCACAAGCCCTCGATTCTGGACTGAGCCTCGTAGATCCTCACTACCCTGGTCACAAACTCTGGTCACAAGGAATGACCTGGGTTTTTCCAACTGAGAAACAGCGGACGGAGAGCGTCTTTTCTCCAGAAAAGGGTGGCTCAAGGGCCCTGGTGTTGAACCAGTGGCCACGGCGAAAAGCAAAGTCAGCATGCGTCCTGGGTCGTTTTGTTCTTCGTTTCTCATCCTTCGGGGGGACCTTCCAGGACGCCTGCCTCCTTTGTCAGCCCATATTTGGCTGTTGCCATGACTCTTCGCAGCAAGGCACTATTGCCTAGGCGCTTGGTCAAAGGATCAGCTATCATCTGCTGACCTGGAACCCAAAAGGTTTTGCACTTCAGTGCGCGTGCGGACACGCAAATTACAGCCACGTCCAGCTGAGCTCTTCTGTCTTGGCCTGCATTGTCGCTCCTGCGGCTGAGCAAGTCGTAGAGCGCTTTTGCGTCTGTGACATGGGCTCCGGTCATCTTGTCAATGACCCTGATGCTAGCCACATCCTCCGGCTCTTCTCCTTCAGGAAGCCGGACCACCATCAGCGACTCTGAGGAGCCAAGTCGCGAGCCATCGAGCACGGTGCTGTGCTCGTCCAGGAGCTCATGCCAAAGTGCTCTGAGCCATTCAGCTTCGGCCAAAGCATCATCCATCGCCAAGGCTTCTGAGCCCAGCGTGGCTTTCACCACTCTTCGAAGCTTATGCGAGCGCCAGCTGTTGATGCTGAAGTCTGCCAGCGCTCCATCCATGATGGTCTTGCAAGCGAAGGCCAAAAGGAAACCTCCCTGGGACTTGTTCTCGACATTAGCCATGCTTGCATCTGCCACTGTCACCCATAGTCCTGCATTTGTTGGAATTGGCAGGACTCGAAGGAAAGCATCTTTTGTTTGCTTGAGCTCTGCGACCGTCTTATTGGCCATGAGGATGTTCTCCACCGTTGGACCAGCTGCCGTCCATGCCATGGCCATAGTGCAGGCTGCGCCAACGTCAGGTCGAGCCTCCTTCCCAATCCAAAGGAGTGAGCCGCCCATGCCTCTGAGCCATGTGATCTCCTGCTCGGTCAGCTTTGAGGTCTTATCTTTAAGGCGGTCTTTGGCCAGGGTGACAGGTTTGAGCTTCTCCTCAATGTACCTGCGCATGCTCACCTGGATCTCAAAGTCCTTGGTTTGAGTGAGCGTTCTGCCGATGTATTCGGCTGAGCTTTCATACAGGTCCTTCCACTTGCCGAACTTGAGCTGGGTGCGCAGCTTTGCCATCAAGTCTTGGTGGCGCTGGTTTCCACCTTGGCAGAAGTCATCAACATCCAGCAAAACCACTCCTGCCACCATGAAGTCCTCGGGGTTGTTCTTTTCCTCCGGGATGGCAGGCAAGTAGTACAGGCATGGATCAAAGACACTTTCCTGGTAGGTCAGCTCCAGGAGAAGTCGTCTGACTGTCTTTCGCCACACTGCTGGAGCGTTGACAAGTCCATAGACTGCAGTGCGGACATGGATCAGGGCATTCTGGTCAACGTCAGGGATTCCTGTCGGTGGCATGCTGGCATAGAGAGGGCCTTGTTCCCTTTCAACTTGATCGCTCTGTCCAAAAGCACTGGACACATCCATCACGATGAGGTGGTAGTGATGGCTAGCGATGATCTGAAGGACCAGCATCACGGTGGTGGTGGATGGTGTTGGAGCGAATCGCTCGAGTTGGAGGCTGTCTGGATCTCGGTGGCCTAAAAGAATCCACCTGGCTTTTGCCTTCCAGCTTTCACCAATTTCTCCTGTCTTCTTTGTGATCAGGAATCTGCTTGGCATGATCCGGTGCTTGAGGGTCTCACGGATCTCCTTCAGCTTGACTGGATCGGTCACCAGCTCAATGGCTCCGGAGTTGACGAGGTTGCTGATCTCCAAGAGCTTGGCATCTCTAAACAGCTTCTGTTCTGCTGCTGTGAGGTTCTTTTCATTCAGCTCTTTACCCTGCTTGGTGAGGTAGTGAAGTGGAAACTCATCTTCAAAGGTCTTCAGGGCATAGTAGCAGTCTTTCTTGTCCAGCAGCTTGAAGGCGTCAATGTCCCGGCTGTTGGCCACAACCGGGTAGAGGGTCTTGTCACCCCATTCATTCTTGGTGTCAGCTCGCCACACTCCAAAGACTCTGCTTTTGTGAGCCGTTCTTTCACTTGGTGCCGGTTCTTCCAGCGATCGCTTCATGCCAGTGTCTGTCAGCCGAGCATCTTCTTCTGGTTCTTTGTCTCGAGCTGGCCTGGCAGTTGTGGTCTTTGTTGTTGCTTCATCTGGAAATGGTTTGCCTGGATCGGGATGTCCTGGCTTTGGCTGGTAGATCAAAGTGGTCTCAATACTTTGCACACCACTGGGAAGCTTCTGGTGGATCTGGTGCACTGTCATGCCTTGGTGAATGGTTTCATCTCGGATCACCTTGTCAGTGTCCAGGTCCAGCGTGATTCGCCGGATCACATCTCCCCATAGTGGGCCTTTTGAATTGGATGCTCTGAATCGTTTTGCATCCACATCATATCGAACCCATTGTCTGAGTCCTGGGCTTGCAGCTGAGGAAGATGCTGAGCTTGCTTCCTTGGCTGACTGGTTTTCCACTGTGGCTTTCCACAGCTCATCACCATCATTGGCTGGCTGGTTGTCTGTTGTGGCCGGTGCCGAATCTGGTGCTGATGCCGTGGGCTTGCTTGGTGATGCTTGTGTGTTCTCCTCCAAGTCAATGACAGTCTCGGGTTTGTTCTGCCGTGCTTGGTGTGGTGATCTGGACCTGTTGGTCCTTGGTAATGCCGGTGTCATAGGAGCGGGTGCTGGTGTGCCTGGTGCTGAAGCCGGTAGTGCTGGTGTTCGTGGTGCCTGTCCTTCGGGGGGTCCTCGAGGTGTTTGAGGAACCCTCCGGAGAATGTCTGCTTGACCAGCAGGCATTGGTGCTGGTGTTGAAGGCACCCGAACTATATCATCTTCATCTGGTGGGTCTCCCTCCTTCTCGACATCCACGAAGCCCAACTTCTCGCTGTGGAACCTTAGCTTCTCCTTGGCTTTGAGCAGTTCAAGTGGGACAATTTGAATCCCCTGCTTCTCAAGGTTGCCCATGGGAAACACCTGACTGCGATTGCAGCGCCACAGCTCTCCTCTCCGACTCACCCAGACACTGTCGCCCTTCTGCAGAATGACGAAGGCGGGTCCGACTTTTGCTTGAAAGCCTCTGCGCCCCTGTCTCCAGACATAGACCGGCTCACCCTCTTGGAAGACATGTTTTTCTCGGGCTCTGCGAGGTCTTGCTCTGACTGCTCGTTGAAGTCGTTCTTTGGAGTCGGTCATCATCAGAGCTTTTCTTGCAGCTTGCCTCAATTCCTCCGCCTTGGCCCATGCTGCATCATTGGTGATGGAGACCTCATACTCGGACATGTTGGAGAGGCTGTCCATGTTCAGTGAGGGCTGCTTGCCGAGAACACGTTGTGCTGGTGAGTAGCCACTTCTGTTTGTCATGGTTTGTAGTGCCCAGGAAACTTCATGCACCAAAGTCTTGACCTCCTCGATGTCAGTCGGAGGTCTGAGCTCACGGCTTTTGTAGTACACCTCTTTGAAAAGACCTCCTCGGCGTTCTGTAATGCCGTTCTGGTAAGGTGCATCTCTATCAATCCACATAGGAACAATGCCGTGGTTCTCCAAACCTTCAACAAATGCACCCATGAACTCAAGTCCCTGGTCCATGATGATGAACGAGGGTGCACCAAACGTTCGAAGCCAACTGGCCGTGAAGGCCTGCCAGACCAAATTGCTGCTTCTGCGAGTTGGGTGTACCAGAACAAAGGTGGAGTACAAAGTTCCTTGGCAGGTGACGTTCAGGATGGGCAACTCGCTGATGTCATCAGCTCCAAAGACAAACAGAAGGTCCACGCCGATCACGACGTTGAAGTCATAGGTCTTCGGAGTAGCCGCCGGCAATCTTGTAGGTTGCCTCTTTTCTTTGGCACATCCCTCGCAGGAAAACTCTTTGAGGACATACTGTATCACGTCAGGCCTGGTGCCTGCATTCTTGAGGAGCCGGGCGAACTCTTTGACTGAAGGGTGTCCCAAGTTGATGTGAGCTCTCAGGACCATTGACTTCTCTGCAGTGGTCACCGTGCTAATCTCTGCAAAATGCTGAGACAGTTCCGGGTGGTGATACAGCACGATGATGACCTTGTAGTTCACCTCCAGCTTGGGTGTTTTTCCACTTCTCGCACGCTCCAGTTGAATCCACTTGTTGTCCCAAATGTTCCTGGCCCATGTCCAGCGCAACGTGCGGTGGCCAGGTCCTTGTCGAGGGATTGCTGTTGCGTTTGAAGACACCCAGACAGCGCTCTGGTGAAATTGCCTCCACTGGAACTCCTGGCGGCCAAGTTCTTCAGCCCATTGCTCCATGTCACCACGATCTGGTAGTCGGTGAGGTCGGCCATGTTGTGAGTCAACCCAATCTTGAATGAACCCATCGACTATGGCCTGAACCAGCTTGGGTGGATATTGTTCAGCAAGCTTCGGAAGGCCGTTGACCAGCTGCTGATGAGGTTCTTCACATTGGCATAGTCGCTGGAGATTCACTGCGATGGCGTCGCAGGAAGTCGCAAAGAGAGTTGACTTCCGATTCAGACCATCTTCTGCTCGTAGTCCAAATCGACATTGATGGCCTTTGACCAAGATGATCTCGTCATGGCTGAGGTAGTCCCTCACCGAAGGCAAATTCCATGACGTAGCCGTGTCTGGATGCTCATGTAGTCCATGGCCTCCTCGATTCCGTTGGTCTTCCAGACAGACCATCGAAAAGTCAACGTGTGACACAGCTTCTTCCCATTCTCCTTCAAAATCCTCCCAGTTCTTCCTGAGGTTCTGGAAGGGTGAAAACTTGGTGCACGGAGGTGAAGAAACCAGGAGCTTCGGCTTGCGTCTTGACAATTCCTTTCTCACATGCTCCTTTGTCTCGGAGTCTTTGAGGTCATAGCCAGTGCAAAGGTCGACCGAAAGCTCTGCCCTGAGTCCTCTTCTGCGAGCTTCCTCCACGACCCGTGGTGGACTGTAGAGCTCGACAATGGCGTCATTGGTGTCCTGGAGGCTGCCATAGATCTCTGCCACGTCATCTGTGGTCTCTTCTTCAGCCCATAGATTCCAGTACACCGTCTGATCTCCGAGCAGGTCATCTAGGCCTTGGTTGATCTCGGCCTTCATAGGTTTGGTCAGGGTGACCTCCATATCGCACTCAGCTGTGACCAGGTAATCGAGGAAGTCAGACATGAACTCATAGAGGACCAAGTAGTGGACGTTGCCGCCAAGAAAGTAGTTGTCACCTGGCACCGAGGAAACGCTGACCGCGTTCCAAGCTTCACCGTTGTGGGTGAGGATCACCCGTCGGCTAATAGTGGGCCATGTTGAAACCGGTGCAACTCCTTTCACACATTCACCACATCCGGTGGTTACATAAGTTGACGCCACGTCCAACTCCAGGGTCTCCATGAGGTCCATGAAGGTTTCTGGTAGTAGTTCTTGTCGTTGAAGGCTGTGCAGCCATCCGTTCAGTTCTGCAATTTCTCGATGCTGAACGGTCCCATCTTCTTGTAGGCCAAGTCCATCTCGAACATGAAGGCCTGCTGACTGCATGGCTCCCAGGTGCACTGGAGTTCCGCACTCTGAGGATCCGGATCTCCATTGATCACCAGAATCTCCTGGCGGTTGCAGCGGAAGCACAGGTAGGTGCCATGAGCTGGTTCCACCTGGTTGGCAATGGCGCTCCAGTTCATTCGACATGCCGGGTTGTCGCACTTCCAGATGAGCTTCTGGGTCGGCATGTGGCGATGCAGTGTCAGCATTCCCTGCTCGCCAGCTGGGCATAGGTGGCAATCTTGTTGATGAGCTTGGCGTGGCACACCCTGCATCCAGACATCCTCCCCAATGTTGAAGCTCTGAGCTGATGTGTTCAGGCTGAGGATCTCGCTGGCCATGACATCGTGCCATGAAGTCTGTTGTTCGTCCACTTCGTCCAGCTCGTCTTTGACTTGATCCTGGGGAGTCCGAGGCAGTGGAACTGGCTTGGCCCTGCTCTTGTAGGCCGTTGATCTCTTTGGAGGACTGCTCGGTGACTCCTCCTCTGGATTCTTCTTTTCCTTGGTCGCCTTGTTGGTGTTCTTCTTGTCGTAGAAGGCGTCCGGGATGAATACCAGCGTCTGGTTCCACACATGGAGCTCCGTCACTGACGTAAGTGGCATTCTCTGGGTCTGCCGGCATTGTGCACACTTGTGGAAGGTGCCATACTTGTTTGCTCCATGGGAGGTCTCGGCATGGGAGCAGTGGATGCTCTTCTCGAGGCACGGGATCAGGTATTTGCCGTGTCCCTTCACACAGGCTCGAGGTCGGACACGGTCTTCCTCCCTGGCAGTCGTCAGATCTGCCTGGGGTGGTGCTGACGAAGATGCTGCCTCTCTGATCACCAGCTGCTCCTGCACTGCCAAACGTAGGGCCTCCTTCTCCAGCCGCTCTCGTCGATGCTGCAAGCGGCGTGCATCCCGCAGCTGAGGCATCCGAGTGGACTCCATGAGCTCCTGCGCTGATCGCAGGAAATTGGAGACAAAGAGCCGCAGCAACAAGCGTCGCCACCGGCCCCATGGCTGGCGCTGTACGGCCGTGCGCATGAGGTGGATCGGATGCTGACCACGGCACAGGTTCTCTTGACCAGGCAGTACTGCGGGTGATCCAAGTAGCATGTGGTGCATTGAAGCCGCTGCCAAACTCAACGATCGAGACGGCGACATGACCGGTGTGCATCTTCTTCATGGTTTGTTTCACACCGATGGTCATGTACATGATGGTGCAATGCCCCATATCAATGACAGCTCCCAACTCTGAAAGAAAATAAGCTGGCAAAAGGAACGGTATGTCACCCGGCACGATTTGCACCCTGAGGACTCCGGATTTCCCTGCGAGGCCAATGGGGACATAGGCTATCTGTGTCTTCTCTTCTTGGCCACATATTCCTCGCACGGAACCGCCGGACTCCTCGGACCACTGAACCTGCAACCCGAACTTGGTCTTCAACAAAATGGTCATGGTTGGTGAGGGTGTTCATGCCGACGAGTCCATGTTGTGCTGCCGTGTCAACCAATGCGGTGCCATCGGAGGTGTGCATGCCCAAAAACACGAACGACAATCCGGAAAGCGAGGTGCTCATGTATTGCTCAAGCATTGGTGGATCCACGGTTGTGGTCATGAACTGTCCAAATCCCGCCGCCTTCGGCGGTTGAGTAAAAAAGCCAGTGGTCATCGCTCCAGTGGTCGAAGCTACACTTGAGGCACTCCGGGAAGGTGAAGAAGGCATCTTGCCTCGATGTGGGCACTCCTTGGACCAGTGCCCCAGTTGTTTACACTGGTGACAGCGGCTTTTTGCTTTCAATTCATTGATTGAGAGTCTTGAACCTTGCCGCTGCCATGGCTTGTCGAAGCCTCTGCCATTCCTTGCTGCTTGCAACCTTCGGCGGTGCTCGAGGTACCCGCCTCCTTTTCCTCCATGGTGAGGTGAGCCACCTGCAAAGGTGCGGTGGCTTTTGCCTTTTCCTTTCTTGCCCTTGCCTTTGCCCTTGCCTCCAAAGCGGTGCTGGGTCTCATAGAAGACTTCTTCGAGCTGCCAACCCAAAGCTTCCAAAGCTTCAGATTCCTCCATCACACCTGGCAGGTCTTGGGCAAAGATCAACTGGGCCTCATAGTTGTCGTTGAGGCAAATCAAATCTTCCAAACCTTCATCCTCCGGCCATTCGGAGGCATAGATGCCGCTGCCATCATCATCCATGAGGTCATCCTCATAGTTTTCATCGGCATCATCGCCGTAGAAGGTGTTGCTCCTCCATCGGCGAGGTGTTCCAGCGTGCTGGTCATAGTGCGCTGACTCATCCAGCTTGTCGCCAAACACTTTCTGGATTGCTGACTCGATCTCTCTGAAGTCGATCGAGCCATTGGTCACCACCTTCAATCTTTGCCTCTGATCCTGAGAGAAAGCGCCCTGCCTCAGGATCAGGTGTCCAAGAAGGTGTCGACCTGGTGAACTTGCGAGCAGATCAAGTCCTTGTTTGCGAAGCTCTGCAAAGGCTGCCTTCTTGCCGGTCAAGAAGGCGGTCAAAGTCATGCCGCGTTCGCGGCGGCCACGGAAGATGGCCTCATCGAAGGCTTGCTCTAGTCGTTGATCCTTCAAGTACTCATGAGCTTCTTCAATGAGTCTCAGGATCTGCTTGTGGCCATTCTCTGCAGTGATCTCATCGACCGTCAAGTGGGCAAGCATGGCGCCGAGCTTGCTGCCAATGGGGATGCTGTCGATGATTCTTTTCCCGATCAAATTGTGTGGAAGCCTTGCTTCAGCCTCCACCAACCAAAGCAGCAAGTTGCGATGAAACTCCTTGAATTGCTTTTCCGGTTGAGAGCCATCCCATGAAGGTGCTGGGTCAAGCTTGTAGTCAACATATTTCTTGCCTGAGTCCCGAGCCGTTGGTGATCTCGGAGGTGGTTCCTCAGGCATTGCCATTGAGCGTGTCGCTCCAGCCCAGGGATCTTGTAATTCAAGGCGATCTTGATCGGGCAGTCGTGATTCTGCAGAAGGTCGTTGAGCATCAGGCTGTAGTGGGGTCATAGGCCTTACAGGCGTAGCACTGCCGGCGGGTGATGCCGCCGGTGGAGTTGATGAGGTCGTGCCATTGCCGCCTCGCCATGTCCTTTGAGGTCTGGTGCTCATGTGCTCACGACCAAATGAAGTCCAGTGAACTGGTAAATGAAGAAAACAAGGTCAAAGTGACGAAAACTGTGGGCTCAGCCAAAGGCCAACTGCCGGGCGCAAGTCACCCTCTACTGTCTCAAGGGCGAAGAGCTCGAGGTCGCGAAGAAAGGGTCGGGGTGTCCCCCGCCTTCAAGAAGTCCTGCGCCCGGAGCCCCCTGGCCGTCGCCAGAGAGCTCCGCTACCACTGAGAAACAGCGGACGGAGAGCGTCTTTTCTCCAGAAAAGGGTGGCTCAAGGGCCCTGGTGTTGAACCAGTGGCCACGGCGAAAAGCAAAGTCAGCATGCGTCCTGGGTCGTTTTGTTCTTCGTTTCTCACCAACATTCCTAACAACAGATCCTTCCAACCCATCACCTTTTCGACGGTCACCCCGCGAAGCATTGCGAACTCAGACGCCCGGCCGCACCCACCTCACCTGCGGGCACGGCGGTCGGGCACTTGGGTGCGGAGTTGGTAGGATCAGGGATGCCGGGGTCAATCTAGGCATATCTTCCAGTCCCACAGGAGATATTTTTTGGAAACAGTTGGCCACAACTCTTAGATATCTTAGGGTTTGTTTTCTGGATTGTCCGTTGGGTAGGCGAACAGGGACGAGGTGTCATTCCCTTCACCGCGAAAGAAAGGTCCAAGGAAGCCAAGTCACCTTCATCTTCAACGTCACTCGAACAAAGGCCATCGCCCTAAACCCTTGGACCCTTCTCGGGTCAAAGGCCCCTCATCACCTTCGCGAAAAGTTGAGCGTCCAAAGATGGACATCAATTTTTTAGATAGTTGATTCAAATCCTTCCATTTCAAGGAAGGCCTTTGGAATCCTCCATCTTGAGGCCCCAGGAATTCCATCGAATCCTTCACCAATCCGCCGCCCGCGGCCGGCGCCACAGCTGCCTGCGCCGCTTGTGCCGCTCTGCCAATCTACGCTTTGTCCCGGTCACCCCGGTCACCCCGGTCAGCGCATCGCCTAGGTTAGCCTCATCTTCAAGCCGGTCATCCTCGGCCAGATCAGTCACCTGCAGAACAGGTCGGCTGAACAGGAATGAACGAGTCACATATGGTACCTGGTACTGGTCATGGTCTGATGGGTGTGGAGAAGTGTGGAGTCTGAAGTGCAGGCCATGCCGGAGATCAGTCTATGGTCAACCCGAGGTTGGGCCCGGGTGCGCCCTTGTTTCGACCAGATGAGAGACCATCGTTTAGGGACGACGTCCCAGATTCCACCGTTTGCGCTCGGACTCAAAAAACCAACTCTTCAAAGAGTCCCATCGGCATGTTGCCTTCCATGGCATTCCCAATAGACATGGCGGCCAAAACCTCGTGGCAGCCCGTGGCACCTCCACCACGGCACGGGCAATCACCGACAAATTGCCGTAGCTGCCGGGAAACACGGACCTGGGGGCGCTGCACCAATGCAATGCTCAAAGGTACTGAGAGGTACTTCTAAAGAAGGTACTAAGAGGATGTTAGAGGTACTGAGAGGTACTAAGAGGTACCACCCGCTTCTCTTGGTCTGAACCCGGTCCACTTCGGAAAGCCAGGTAACTACCGGCTAATAAAGCGTGGGAGTCAGGATCTGACAGGTGGGAATCCGGGTGCAGCGGATTTGCAGAAAGGGCAGCTGCTGTGAGCAGGTCATGATTTCTTGCCTGTGCTGCTGTGCTGCATCTTTCGCGTTCCACGGTTTTCCTTTTCCTGGTGGAGTGGATCATCCTGATAAACCCTAAGATCCAAAGGTAAAGGGGCTAAAGGGATCTATATAAAGGGATGCTAAGGGCAGCACACCTAAGGACAGTCAAGGAGGAGTGGATTCTGGAGGACTATAACATATTATATGATCATTATTTGATCGAACTTCTTGATACTGTGGGTGATCCTCACCCACGAACAGAATCATGCTCACGAGTTCATTCAATCAACCAACCACCCTCTCAAAACAGAAAAAACCACACATGAAAACACCATTCATGTCACACAGATCTTCACTCGCCTTGCTTTCACCCCTCCGCCCAACGCGTCGCTCGCCGTTGAGCCGCGCCGCCGGAAGATCAAGGAGTGCGCCGGAGACCACGCCACCGCTCGGGCCGATTCCACTAGACCACCCTCCACGTGGGGGACCTCAGGAACGGACGATGCCCCGGGGTGGACACCGTCGTTGGCCAGCTGCGGTCGGGTCGTTTGCGAGTAGTGTGGTGACCTGGTGGTCCGCCCGGGTGGATTGGGTCTCGGCGTGCTGTTTCGAACCTGGCGGACTTTGGTGGGTCCTGATGCGCGGGTGGCTCTTCATGCAGGCGGTGTGGGAGGCTGAGGTGTAGCGTATTGCACTGCTTCCGGTTCTTGGCTCCCGGACAATATATTGACATGAGTTGGAACAAACATGTGAGGAGACAGTGTTTGGTCTCTTATCCTGATAAGATCCGATGTGCATCCCCGCTTACACCACAAAGATCGATGTCTTTTCCTTTACTGTAGCCGGTGCTTCGGAAGGGAACGAGGGACCATGGGTCATATGGGTCTCTCGGAAGTCCTTCCTCACCGCCTCGCACCGGTCCCCTCACACGCTGCGCGTGGACAGCGTCCCCTCCGGTCGCCCGTTGAGGGCGCCGCGAAGCCCGGCCCCACGTTCCACTGGGAGCTCATGGGAGGATCCGTGGTGTTGTCCACCTCCTGCCCTCCCGGCAGGCTGGAGCCGATCCTCGATATCCCGCGCGGGGTTAGGCCCAAGAGACAGGTATCTGCAGGTCATATTCATATTGGATGTGTTGAAGGTTGTTCTTCTTGAGATTTTGGGTTTGCTGGAAGAACTTTGCTGGACTTTGTTCTTTGCAAATCTCTTTGGCTACTGTGATCGGGTGCCTGAAGCCAGCCAAAATGAATTACTGAGGTGGAAAGGCTACAACTTTTGAAGCGGAAGGGCCATGGCTATGGCTGAACATCTCCGAGCATATTTTTGCAGGGCTTGATTTCAATCCGCGCATGGTGAAATTGGGTCTCAGATCTTCGGCGGTATTCTGAACCGGCACGGGACGCTGGCAGGGCGCCCTTGTGCCAAACCAACATGAGGACAGCCCACCATTTTTTACTTGCACACGGGCCTGCCTCTCGAGCTTGCTACCCGTTAAAGAATGAGGACAGCCCACAGCTCTCAAACCAAAAAGCAAACATGAAACCTGCCGAATTCAACAGCCACGGTCTCGCCTGCCGCCACGGACCCCGTAGGAACCACCACTCCCACCGGGCTGGGGCTTTCAAAACCGAAGCACCTAAAACACTTGAGGCCAAACTGACCTGGAACCGACACTCCCAACAAGGTGAACTCATCATGACAGCTGAGTCTGTGAGTACTACCTGTACATATTCATGGAAGTGGATGATGGGATGGCATGGTCCTGGATGACCATGAAATCCGAATACCAAACAGGTGGTGAACTCCACTTCCATGGAGCTATGTCAACGAGAGTCAATCTATGCGATCGTGCCTCGCCGCCCATGGTCACTGAGGTTCCTCGCTGGTACCAGTCCATGTCATGGAAGCGAGCTCCATCCAGACAACCGAACCGGCCCAACTGGCGAGTGTGAAAGAAGCAGGCCTTCCCTCTGTGTTACCCCAAGAACCAAGCATTTTCTGGCAAAGGCCTAAATTCTGCTGGGAATTCCCCAGCCACTGAGTTTTAGCGACTCATCCAGCCTTTTCATACATTCTCTTTTTGCGGAGCATGGAGCATGAGTGGGGCCCCACTGCCAATCCGAGGGTCGATTGACATCGGTTCTTGCACCATGGAAGCATTGAATATATTGAATAGCATGGGAAACGCTTGGCCCAAACGTTGTGCATGTCCTTTGGATCATCAACTTGCGAACTTCTTGCGACTCTCTGCCCCTCTTGCGGGTAAACCTTGCGCCAGGTGACCAAAATGGAAGCTGACCAGGACCCCTCTTGTAGAGGAAAAAGATCTTCCAGGGGGCCATGCCATCCACTTCCATGATTGTTTCAGGGAGTGTAAGTCTTGTATATAAGTGCCTCATTGTTTGAAACATCACTGTGCAGAAGGTCACCATCTTATCACCATCTTCCTGTCGCGCCCTCCCCAAGCTGCTGCGATCTGGTAAAGGACGTCCTCGTCTTTTCCCTTCGTACTCTTTTCAAACTTTCCAACACAAGGAGCTCCGTTCATTTGAAGGGATCCTTCTTTTTGGGGAAGGCATCCCAGGGTGCAACAGGAGGGTGCAAGGCGGCTGCTGGCCTTTTCGAAGCAGTCGTCCGCATCAGACTGCACCAGCAGTCGGTCAAAACCTGGCCCGTTGGCCACGAAAAACATTGAAAAACTATACATCCTGCCGCCGATCTCTTGGCACAAAATGTTCAAAAAAACCAGGGACATCCTGCACCTGGAACACCTGAACTTGGCACGAAATGCGGAAGGGCATATCGGAGGGACGGATGGGGTGGTGTTCTGAGCATCACTCCTGACATCAAATCCATCGGCTCCGCCGCGCCTGCCCCCACGATCCGCCGCAATGAGACGGAGACTTTCCTCGTGTCGAAGGTGATGTCCACCTGAGACAGAGGCGTTCCACAAGTTTTCTGCAAAGAAATGCAATTTTGAAGACTCCCTCTGGCAGTACTGATCCCTGAGACCTCCTCAACAACCACAATTGCTCTAGCATGCACTATAGCTACTTCAATCACCCTTGATCGATGAGACGAACAGGTCAACAGATCTTCGACTCGAGATCTGGGCAGTCAGACTGACTCAAGCAACCTGCTGAAGAGTAACAGCGAAGATCTTTTTAGAGGTCCTTAGGGTCCTTTGGACCGCCACAAGAAGCACCATCAACCATCCTCTCTCGGCCCAAAAGCTCGTATTCTTAGGCCATGGCGGCCATGGGTTAGGGCGGGTGTTCGGGTGCCTCCATTCGGTGTCCATGGTTTCTCCATCGGCCCAGCCAGTAGCCTCTGGTTTCACCACCCAGCTCCTCGAAGGCACCATCGACCACCTCCCACCATCTCCCCTTCGCGAAATGCAAGAAACCAAATCATTGAAGAAACTTCTGAAGGTCCAAGACAATAAAACATCTCATTGGAAAATCATAGATAAATCTCCACAAGAACCAGATTGACATCTGAAAGAATCTGCCTGGCACTTGTTCAGAAGGCCTCCAGTATTTGTTGAGCTCTCCAGGTCACTGCCCAAACCAATCTGGGACTGCTAAAGTGGACTGGAACTTGGATCCAATAAGCAGAAAAGAAGATCTCAAATCGCTTAAATCACTTTCTTTCCCAAAACTGCACGCCCAACAAGCCAAAAACGATAGAATAAAACGTTCCCCCAAACTGGACCACCTTGGACTTCTCCTTCTCCATCTACTTCCCCCGACATTTCCACCGAGCAGCTGCCCGAAGTGGCTTTCGGGCGGCGAAGACTGGCTCGAGCGCCAGGCTCAGCCCGTCATAGTCCTGTGCGGCACGTTTTCACGTCGGAGGCCCAAAGATCCTGCCTTTTGGAGATCAACGAGCTCAAGGAGCAAGGAAGCTACTAGGAGAAAAGGGCATCGCTACTAGGAGCGATCGGACGCTACGTTCGGGGCTCCTGGCCTTACTACAAGGAGCAAGGACACTACTAGGAGCAACCCTACTTCCGGTCCCTCAAAACCCAGGAGTTTCAAAGGGGTGGTTTTTAGTCCCTAAGTGAGTGGATAATGGGCACCCCTATCCTTGAATAGGCACCCCTTTGTGACTGCTGGTCAACCCTACTTACTTCCGGTCCCTCAAAAGCTATAGGGCTCCGGCTTGGTGAGAAACCCTTTCGACCCCTGACCCCTCTATCTTCACCATCATCCTGGGTGCCAGCCGTTTGCCTTTTGGGGAGCGCGGGAGTGCAGGACGGACACTGTTTACTCCTCATTCCTGTGGACATGCTTATATATGCCTATCACTCCCTCCAAACACATCCTCACCTATTAGCACTCATTCATTTCATTAGCACCTGGCATGACCTGGTGCAAAACCTGCCATGACCTGGCATATGACCTGCCACGCTCCGCCGCGCCCAAAAGCCAAACCGGCGCCTCCGGCTCGAAGTAGAGCTGTCGTTGCACCTGAGGGCACCGCCCCGCTGGGGGTTCGGGGGCCCTGCACGGGGTGCCGCCCTCCGGAAACCGAGGCGCTGCGTAGTCCAAGGCGTGCCGTGCCGCGCTGGCCGCGCCGAAGACCTGGCTCGGGGCGAGCCCTGGGTGCGGGGGGGGGGTTCGCAGGTTTGCCCGGCGGTCCACGGTCACCAAAGGTCAAAAGCAAAGACGTCTTCCGACTCGTCCACCGTGGAAGTGCAACATCGGATGAAGATGGGCCTTTTTGGGAATATATACCCTAGGCTTCCAAGACCATTTAAAAAATTGTTGACCTGGTTTTTGTAGTGTAAAATCCTTGGTTGATTCGGTAAAGCCTATTAGATTAATGGTTGTTGGAAGCCTAGGGTATATATATATATTTTTTTTTCCATAGTTTTCCCCTTTTTCTCTACCGAACCAGGATGGTTTCATGCTTCCACTTCGTTTGGTTTCGGTCGGTGTGCCACGGGCAGCTCGCCCAGCTCGAGCGCGGAGTGTGCTCGCGCGTGCTCGCCTGAGCTGCTTCCGAGCCCACGCGTTCAGTAGCGGAGACCACGTAGCGCTCGCGGGCCTCGGGCGTAGACCACGTAGCGCACGGAAAGCATGCGCGAAGGGTAGCGGTTCGCTGGCCCTACTAAGGTGGACGAATCAATCAAGCCGCCTTAAGAAACGTTTTGCACAAACTTGAAGGTAAACATTTGTTGAAAAAGTGGGATACTTTTGGAACTGGTTTTGAATGTTTTGGTCTACATTCTTTCTTTTTTAGATCGCTATTTTAATATACACACCCGGGAAGACTGCCATGTGACCTTCAAGATGCCCGGTTACATGGATATATTTCGATCATCATTGGTGCTTTGATCTTTGGAATGCCGGATATGTGTTGACATGTGTTTTCCAATAAGACTCTCTACATGCTGCTTGATACAGTACCACTGGCACAAAGCCTCTCTCACATCTCTCTACATTCCTTGAACGAAGACCGGAAAGGAATCTTGGAAGATCTTCATCATTCCTTTCCAGTCTTCCTTTGATGTCGTTTCGGTTCTGGCTGATCCCTGAGCTGCGCACCAAGTCGACCTTGGTGACGGAGTCTGCCGATGCACTGTGTGTCGGTTGTGCGAAACGAGAACAGCCAAACCCAACGGCTGCTGTCCACCAAAGCTTGAAGAAGTATACCCGAACGAAGCATAACCTTCTTGAGAGGGCGTGTCCAGGGCGCCTCTTTAGGACTGATCTGTGCCTTCCTCACTAGTCGAAAAAAATGGCTGAACGAGAGGCAGAGCGTTGATCTTGGGCGCGTGACCACTGGGCCAGTGTAGCGCAAAGCTACGATCATCAGCAAGATGGAGACGGTGCCGACCCAGGACCTTTCTGAGTGGTAAAGGAACAAAAAATCTCGATGAAAAGCATCTGCTTGAAGGAAAACGCCGTATTGAATTCGTTTGCCATCGAGTTTGGGTATTTGTAGGATGTGGAGGACGGTGAACCCTACGCAAAGCCTATTCTAATCAAGGATTTTGGCGCTTGATTTCAAAGGCAGTTGTTGCTACACCATCAATCGCCAGAGTTCTTCCTTCAAGGACAAAACATGCACATCTCAGCCGCGTGCAGGATCACGCAAGCAAAGCTGCCAGCGATCATGTGAGCCTTGCCAGGTTGAGGCATACACACAAATCACATCAGATAACGCAGCTTGTAACACTCCTCACAAATCGTCCATGTCAGGAGGGTTCTTTTCCACAAATACTTTCCTCTACCAGGTCCCACTTCGACCGGCTTCGAGGTGGACCAGTTTTAACGGGAGGAGCAGGAGCCAATTTAGAAATCGATAGCATCACTGCAAACAAATATCAGATTGCGAAACGCTTGAGCTGGTTGAGCAAAGCTATGGTCATCTTGCTTGGAAGCTTTCAACACCCGGCTTCAGCGGAAGCCGAGCTTGAGCGGTCATCTGAGGACCAGACTTTGCTCGGAAGCCTGGGACCGACGGTCCGGTGCCAAGCACAAGTGCCAACCGTCCGGCGGGTTGGTGCCATCTTCACACCAAGTCCTGAACCACGGCAAGTCATGCAAAAATAGGGTGTCCACCGCTCACTTTAACATCAACCCCCCAAAAAAATTGCCAACAGGTCACATCTCCAATTCATCACCTCTCGCCGCTCTCGCCACCACTCCCACCTCCCACCTCTGCGACGCGCTGCTCCGTCCAAGGTGCCCCATGCCCCCGGAGGAGCCGCCCGAGCGGTTGGAGCGCCGCGAGCCCAGGGAGAGCAGCGATTGCATGGAGCCGCCGCGCCGGAGCATCGCCTTCAGGCGTCCGGCCTCCTGGGATCGGACGTGACCTGTGAAAGCCATGCGTGGCTAGGAGTTGTATTGAACTGTATTGATATGTATGTGATGATAGGTGTATGTAATTGTACCAATGTATGTACGATGTGTGAGTCTATTGTTGGATGTGGGACGAAAGCCACTGACCCCGACGCTGCTGCGCGCTTGCTTGCACAAGACATGAAGGCCCAACAAATTGGCACCGAGGCCAGCTGGTGTGGGATTGCCTTGTGCTCTGATTGGACCAGAACGCTTGGAGGATGAAGTGGAGGCTGTAAGGTTTCTGGTTGATTCGTTTCTCGGTTGTGTCTGCCCAAAGCGGGAGCATTAGGATCAAGTTAACAGTACAGTAGTATAGCAAAGATCTGCAAGATTGAGGCTACGGCTACACCCCCAAAAAATCGGCACTTTTTTGGCACAAGACCTCAGAATATCCATTCGGTCACTCATGTCACGCCCGTTCGGTTTTTGGAGACCTGACAACTCCCCGAACCGTCCTCCCCCGTTCGACTCCACCCGACCGGTCCAGCGGCGTCGCGTCGCGCGGCGCCGTCCTTGGATTCTTCGGAGTCCCGACGGTCCCGCGCCTGGAGGACGGGACGCTGGACGCGGCGACCAGCCACGGAGACGAGGGACGAGGGCGGATCCATCATCCGAAGTGGAACCATGTTTTTTTCCATGTTTTTTCACATGGAAACAGCTTCAAACATTTGGAAAAAAGAATACCACCACACTGGTGTGTCGTGGTTAAGTTGCTGGAGGCCATCCTAAAGACCTAAATCCAGTCTTTCAAGGTGGGTTTTGGGTCTGTTTTGGGTGCCGAGGGTCTTGTGGCACTGTGGTCCCAGCCCTCGAACATACCCAGGACCCACCAGAGTCCATCTGAGACTCGCTTCACCAGCTTCATTCTCCACAAGTACAAGCCAAACTGATTTCCAAATCATTTCAAAATCATTCCTGGGAGGGGTCAAGACCACTGCTTCCTCGAATACACAGAAAATCCATGAAAATCCCAAGTCCACCAGGGACATCCACTGAGGCTTGCTATGAATTCTGCTCTGCACCTTTCTTACCCCACGTGACCAGCACGTGACCGTGCCAGTAAACCTCGATCTGCTGTACCGTGCCTTGGGGCTCATCACCGCCAGCGCATCCACCGATGGGGTGTCCTCCTTCTTCCCTTTCATCGCCTGCGAGTTCCAAAAGGAAACACTTCCAGGCTTGAGCCGCTTGAGCTCAGCTCTTCTACGGGCATCCCGTGAAGGATGTTCCGCTGCTTTTCGGTCGTCTGGCTGCTTCTCACTGGGGGTCGGACCCCGAGGTTCGGCACCTTCCGCATGGCGCCGAACAAGCAGCTTCTGGCAGTCGGCTTTCTGCAAAGTGATCCACAACTCTGTGGAAGGATCATCCAAGAATCAACAAATACATTGTCTTTCGATATGTGTGCTGCGATCATCTTGCTGTTGCTCCTATCAGATCTTGTCAGTTTTTTTTTAATTGTGCAGTGATATTTAAGGATGTGCTGATCTGGATCCCTGATCACGTGGTCTGTGCGTCCTGGACCCGAAGATGTGGGGACTGGGCGGGGCAACGTGCTAACTCGATGGGGCTGGGGCTTGCTGGGGGATTGGTTGGTGCTAGTCATCCGTGGGGTCTTCCTGGCCCGATGGCTTTGTCCTGTCCTGCGCACCTCTCATGTGTGATTTAGCCCATGTCACAGCTGAGAAGCCAGGGAGTTGTGGAAAGAAGGACGTCGCTGCAGCTGACTACTCAAATGTCAACACCACCATAGACATAGATCTTGAAGAATAGGCAAGAAGAGGTAAGAAGTTCCATGATAGTTCACGGCTCAGTGGTCATGGGTCGCCCAAGAATCCATCTGACTGAAATTGAACTGAACTTATATGTTGGGTCTATCCGCTCTTTCCTGGGCCCAGTGGATGATGATGGTTTAGTAGAGGCCTTGTTCAACAATAGTAATAATAATATGTAATAATTGTTTACTGACTGTTGCAGGTGTTAGGACAAACCCAAATGATATGAACTTACATGAAATTACGAATTGCCTCATGTCCAAGCTGCAGCTACCAGTTTGTCCAATTGAATGAACACCAACCAATTCACCCAAACATATGAATCCATTCTGTGAGTGGGGTAAGTGCGATGAGGATGGCTGTGCGCTCTCAAAACCATGGCAACAAAACACATTGAACCACAAATGGTGATCACATGTGATCACACATGTTCCTCCATGCAACAAGACACAGAGACACACACACACACACACCCACCCCAGGCACCCCACCGCCACGCGGGACAAACAATCGTTCCCTTTTGGCACCTGCTCGCCGCAAGATGCTTTCCAACCATCCAACACCCTCCATGTTCCATCCATTCTCTCAGCCCGGAACGACCTCCTCAGTCGGCTCCGACCTCGCCGGTGCTCACCACCGGGGACAGCTGCAAGGAGCTGAGGTCGGACGACTGCGCGAGGCCCAAGCGCTCGAGGAAGGCACGGAGCTGCAGGTCTTGCGAGGTGAGCTCCTGAGATGGGGGAGTTCAAAAGGAGGACCGGGGGATGGATGGATGGATGGATGGGTCTGGGCATGCCCCCCAAACCTGATGGGTCATGCAGCATGATGCAGCATGAGCATGCACGAACATGAGCATTGAGCAAAGAGCTTGGCATGTTTAGAATTGCTTTGGAGTTCGGGTGAGAAAGAACGGTATGAGAAAGAACGGTATCGCTTGAGGATGCTTGGGGTAATCTCATGTGGGGTTTAGACGTGGGTGGTTCCTGGTCTATATCAGCCAGAATTCGGGGAACTGGCAAGGGTGCCTGGAAAATCACGACAAATCAACATCCTTGTTCGGGCACTGGTCACGAGCGGATCTCTGTTTGTATTCTTCATTCCTCTCCGGATGATGGGGCGTGATCCTCGGATGGGGAGACGGAGAGACGGCTCAACACGCCGAGCGCTTCGACCGGCTCAACGGGACGGTTGAGTTGCTTGTCCCGGCGTTGCGCAAAGAGGGTGCTCCAACTGTCCATGTCTACACGAAGCCTTCTGATTTGCTACTTGATGGGTGGGCTTTTACTGGAAGGAGCAGCCTGAACATTGGGCAAACTATGGGAGTACTTGGTCTGGATTAAAGAATGGCAGGGCAACCCTCAAGCAGAACCTCCCACTGATGATCACTGATCCAAGATATGTTAAAATGATTGAGGATACGAGTAGGGGTCAAGCATGGCTTAAGATGGTGTGCTGATGGCCTCCCACTGTTCGTGTCATTCCACACCCCATGTGTGGGGAGCCCTCCGCTGCCGTCCTTGAGGCGGGCGGAATCCACCGGGGACCCCCCCAGCAAACAGCGGCAGTCCACGAGCCGAGCCAGGGAGATGCCTGGGAAAACAGCATATGCCGAGATTCGATGGCCCTCTGAACAACGGGTAGCTGCAAAAAATGGTCTTCGATTTTTCTTTTTGGGTGGCTTTATGTATATATATAGTGGATTCTATATGGATTCATCCTCCCGGTTAGGAACGCATCGTTGAAGCCACCAGGTCGTGTATCTTCATCAATGTCTGTTAAAACAACGCCGTCGACGAGCGCTTGCACCCGTTTTTCGTTTGTTCTGGCCTAGGAGGATGGTGAAGAAAAGGGCACCCACCAAAGTCAGCAAAACTTGGAAAGCTTCCTCCACGGAGCTGTCCAAGTTCCTAGGATTTTCGCGACTGCGTCCCGTGGCTTCAAAGCTGAAGGTTTGACACATGGCTTCCGTCAATAGAAGGCGGTTTTTTCTAATGTTTTCCATGGCGTGGGTGGGTGGTGGTCAGCAGTGCTAGCATGTTCAATTCGAATCGAACTCTTGCAAGAATTCACCGGCCAAATGTATACAAGAAGGCCTATCCAAATTCCCAGCTCGCATGCGGATGCAAGCATTCGGGGAACCAGTGAAAAACGCATTTGCGGGCGGGCACGCAAACAAAAGACCTGACGAAGCAAGACCAATCTTCAAGTTCCACAGCCCATAGCCTTGAATCTGATACAGGACCTCTTGCCACGGATACCACCAAGCATAGCACACCAGCCACGAACCAAGCCCCAATAACCGTCCAGCATAAACACCCTGCGGCTGCCACTGCACCTTCCGAGCTAAAGACATCACCAGCCAAGTCATCAGAATTGCATAGGCAAAGGCGGTGCAGAGCCCTAGGGCCTCGCTGCCCGTTTTGGTGGCCACCAGTTGTGTACCGAAATAGAAGCCCGCATCCGTCACCGCGTAACCTGGGTGCGTGCTGGTTCCGTTTGGGCGGGCCGAAGTCCAGAGATCCCGTCTCCCGCCTTTGCGTCTGGACGGCAAAGAATTTATTCAGTAGATGTTTTTTCTGGTGAGTTCTGCAGGTTGAACCAGGGAACTGGTTTCGCTGTGACCAAATGGCCCGGATAGTGTTGGACATCGGCCTGCAATTGCAGACTTCACTTGCTTGAATTTAGAAGTGAGGAGTTAGGCAGTGAGGTGATCTGAAGAAATGCACGGTGAGGTCGATCTGGACATTATATCGGAGATCGTCGTGAAGCAACCAAGCACCCAAAACCATCAGAGTATATATACGGGTTTTCACTTTGCACAAAGCAGGACGCCAAATGATGCCAATTCCAAGCTGCTTGCCTCACCTCCCCCAGAAAGACCACCGGTTGACACACGGCTATGCCTGACAAATAGGCATCTCTGACCGTGTCGGTCATTTTACTTTGAAACATGGGCGCCATCAGGCCGTGCGGCTTGGGATGATGGTCGCCATCATCTTCACCGCGATCCAAAGCCGGCGCCGGTGCCACCCCAGCCTCCGCTGGTGTCCTGTCTCCAAGGGCTCCTGCGGAGGGGTTGGGAGGCGAACACCGGCTGGTCTTTAGACTCGATGGGAAACGCCACCAGTTGCACCCTGTGCAGTTGCACTTCAGTGGATGGCACATCAAGACACCTGGAAGAAGAGAAACTCTTCTCCTCAACCGGACATTTGTCCACCAAAGATGTGCTTTTTGTTCGTTTTTGAGCGCCCGGAGTGGCAGCCAATACCACGTGTTACTACTCCAAAGGACGCCACTGCCAGTCAGCGTTTCGGCATGCTGCCAGGGTTCTGGGATGAAGTAGAGCACCACCAAGCACAGCGAAAGAGTGAGAATTGCTTTCACCAACAAAGGCCGATAGCCTGGCCCATTGTTGTCCTCATTCGATGCTCCGCCCGCGTGACGAGAGAAACTCTTTTTTTTTTTCTCCGGATGCCACGTATGAATGAAACCTATGGGTTCCCTCGGTTGGTCAAATCCAGGGTCCACTTTTCTTTTGCACCACGTCGAACCGGTTTGAGGGGACATCGGCGTAAATCAACTCACCTCACTCTAGTCTACCCGTCTACCCCATTCACCCGTCCTCATCCTACCCTTGCGGAATCCAACGTTGGCCTGACCTAGCTTACCCCGCTCGTCACTGCAAAGCCCGGGCGTCCACTTCATCTGGTCGCCCGTTCATCTGGTCCTGCAGATGTGCGTGGTGAGGCAGTGACACGTGTTTGGAACATCACGCGGCTTGTGGCACCAGAAGAAGTGCCGGTTTTAGCGTCTTTGAGTCAGGCACCGTATTGTTGATCCATAGCATTCCACATCCCAATGTTTTGGAACCATCATGGCGGGCCATCCAGGAGAAACTCTGGAGTTCAAGGACTTCATGCTAGCTTGAAAAAGGACACCGGCAACAGCTGGTCCTTATTCGTTCGGTCCCCCTGTTTCACCCATCGTTCTTAAGTCAACATTCCAAGACCTGCTGGGTAATTGAGAACGCCATTTCGTTGGCTCTTCAGCCAACCTTGTGAGATCCCCTGTGAACCAATCACACTTCCAAGCTCTGATTCTCGTGCACGCGCATCCTGGATGGTCTGAAACCTTGGATTGGACAGACTCACGAACATGAAATGGACCTGTCACGTGCTATATAGATGGGTGTTTTCTTCTGGAACCTGAGGAGTTGACAAAGGGATGGAGCGCCATTAAGAAAACAACATTTGCAAACATCTCGGTCTTTTAGTGCCAAACAAATGCATGCAAAAAACTGTCTAGATACACATGTCTATAGCTACTATATTGTATTCTAGGGATTCGACACGTTTGGGAACATTCAATATTCCTAAAATGACCCGGGGGAAGCTCGTGAACATTTGGAACACATCTATATGTATATCTATATATTCTCTCATACATTGACCAATACGGTGCCATCCAAAAAACAATCGAGGTTGTTCACTAATCCTGAGTGCGAGTACTAAATTCACCATGTGGGAAACCCCTTTACAAATTAATGCAGTTTGCCTTTGGTTCTCACTTGCCGCCTTTCCGAACCCCCCTTTAGTCTATTTATTGGGCAGGCCTTTTTTGAGTAACATAAGGTCATAAGTGCTGTAAAATGATCTGGAAAACATAAATCCCATATAGAAAACTTCTATAACATGAATAAACCACAAATCCACTCCCATCAGCAAGCTGAGGTGACCAAACGGTCTTTCAAACAGAGCAAATTGCACAGCGACCCATGAGCACAGCCCCAGTATAAACTGCATATTGACCAGCCAAGATTGCTGCTCAGAACGTCTTGCCGGCCAACTCTGTGTCGCAGTGTCGATTGCGGATCCACAAGTTGACAAAATCATTTTTTAACACGCAAAAGAATGTAGAAACCGTTTCCCTGACAGTAGGAGCAAAGCAACACAACGAAAAAATAAAACACAGCCTGTGATAACTGATTGCCTTCACCTTCACCTATCATTACTTCAGAGTTAGGTGTGGCACGCAACACGGCAGCCATTACCTCAAACAGTTGTTGGGGCTTTGGGTTCGAAAAATGCTTGGCCGCAGTCTCCGGCCGTGGCCCTGAACCCTGTGTCCGGGCGTTGTCCTCCTGACTGTCCTCTGACCGCGCTGGCGAACCCTGCGCCCTTCTTTTGTCCTGCTGTCCGACCTGCAGGATGTCCTCTGGTCGCACTAGCGAACACTGTTTCGTCCTCTTCAAACTTGTCCTCCTAATCTTGTCCTGCTGTGCTCCTGGCCGCAGCCACGTTTGTGTTCTCCCTCTGTCCTCCGGCCACGCTTGCATTGTCCTCCTGCTGGCGAACCCTGTGTCATCCTCTTGAATCCCCAAATAGCCTAAGAAAGAAATGGCCGGCCATGATAGCTGTGGCCGCACCGCAGGCTTCCCTTTGCGCCTTATCCGGGGCTTGTCCAGGCCTTCCACCGCCTTGTCCATGCCTTGTCCAAGTCTGGCTGTCCTGCTTCTCAGCGTTGTCGGCCCATTTACCACCACATGTTTTCGTGTGGCTATGAATGCGACAGTGGTGCAGCGTTTCGAGTTTGATATCATCATCGGATTTTCTCATGACATATACCCCTTGATATACCCCTTCGCTTTTGCACATGTCGACCCGGGAATCAGGAACTATTGTTTTCAAACAATGCCATTCCCAAAAACGTTACCACCAACATTGGAATTATATAACGGAGTTGACGCAACAAAGATGCTGAAGCTGTTTGGGGTCTATGCTGGCATTCTTGTTTTTTACCCTGACTGCGAGAAGAGAGAAAACATTTGGACACCAGAATCTGGCGAAAGTCTACAAGCGCATGCAAGCCTTTGTTCTCAGCAAGCAAGGAGATCAAAGCTTTGGCAAAAGTGCAGTCATCTCTCACAAGTACCCATCATTAGGAACAGCACCTTTTTACACAATGCAATTCCCTCTCCTGCATCATAGTATGTTTCAACCATGGCACATGTTTCTATGTAATGACCCCTGAGAACGACATGTTATAGGTACAAGGCACCAACATTTTGTAGAGGAACAAGTAAGGGTGGTCTTTCTACTGCCAAAATGCCCAGGCCAAGGGTAATCTCTGGGATTTTTTAGTTATATAGATGCCCACCCTCTAGACTCACCACCGCTTGTGCCATTCACCAGCGGCACGCCGCATTTACACACGCATGGCACAAACGGTTCCCCAGTGGCAGGGAGCCACGTGAACGCAATATCCATCGAGGCCTTGCCAAACCGCATGGCACAGTGACTCATCACCTTCTTGACATCTTGAGTTATGACGAGCGATGAATATAAAGAATCAACACCTTAACCAAGGGTTTTGTAACAGGAAAGGAACACCCTTCGATTTTCAGGGTGTTTCAGCTTTTGAAAAGGTTTCATAAAGGATTTTTCGTACACTTGTGCTAGGTGATGTTTCGGTTTTGAAGCTCTTCCCAGATTCCCATCTGTGGGTGCCCTCCTATTCTGGGGACCCCTCCCCGAAAAAAATACAAACAGGTCTTATTTTTCGAGGGGGGGCGTGCCGTGCTTTTTGATTGGTGGAAGGGCTTATAAAGCTGCTGGACCAAAAACATCCCACAATCACCTGCTAAGCACTCCAAAGAACTTGTGCTTCGGCCCCTTTCGCTGATCTTCCAGCAAAAGCCTCACCATGAATTCGGCTGGTTTCTTCGGTCTCCGGTTGCGCTTGTGGAAGGTCACTAGGAAGCGGTTCCAAACCTGACAGCCACAGGATGGCTTGAGTAGCCACTGGTTCATGAGGCCAGCTGGTGATGCTGACGCTTGATGAATGAAACACCCCATATGAAAAGGCTTTTACACTCCAAATGGGGCTCTTTCTGGTCAACCGAGAGTCTCTGGTGGACTCTCTGACGATTGGTTTCGAACGCTCCGGACACTCTGACGCATGGGTCGAGCCCTGAGTCGATCCCTGGCCGTGTTGATGAGCCAGAGCTGGGCTCCAAACCTGGTGTACATCGTGAAGCTCTCGTTCCACACAGAAACGGATGGATGTTTCAAGGAAGACTCTTGCTGCATAAGGGGCAGAGTTCCAGAAGTAGCCCAATGACGACCACAAAGAATTCAGAATAATGTCAAAGGAGACCTTGGCTTTGGCGAGGGCAATGGAAAAGCAAACACAACACGTGTGGATGCTAATGCTCTTTTAGCCAAATTTGATATATAACATTTTTTAAATCAAATTTGTAAACATGTCCCTGGCTGAAAGCTTTAATCAGCACTACTACCTGGTGGTTTGCTCAAACATCTTCTGCACATATATTGTATCATCTCTTGGATCTTGCCATTCGCTTTCCACATCGCCCATTGCTTAGACCAACACTGCAGGACAGTTGCATGCAGGGAGCCTGTGGGACAAAGCAAGAAACACCCCTGCAAACCAACACCCAAATCATCCGTCATGTATGGCATAAAAAACCATAAATATTCCATACATGGATGGTGTGGGTTGTACTGGAACCAAGGCGGGCACCTGTCACATCCGCTGAAGGGGTTTCATTTGTCGGACTTGCTGATGCATCCGACGCAAGTAGGTTCTTCTTCACCTTTAAAATGTGTGCAATTCTTTTCATATCTTCGCATACTTTTAGTATGGGTTCTCTCTGCTCTTGTCGACCATTGCACACCACGCGGATCAACCGGTTCTTCCTGGGTCAATGGCATCCGAGCCAAACACAGTGCTGGTTGCAGCCGGGTGGCAGCATTGAAGGTGCCATCTGACATGTCATACAGAGCTCGCTCGAGGGCTGCTTGAACCATAATGAACACCTGCTTGGTGGTTGGTTCAATGATAACACTAGGATGAGAGAATTGGGACATGTACGACCACTGGAGGGAGGCAAAATGCCTAAACATAGCAGCTGTAGGTCAACATTTCCAAACATCGTTCGGTCTTAGAACATCATAAGAACTTTTCTTTTCTCCGGGGGGTAGATCCTCATCACCTGCAGTGGATGATGGTCATGACGCTGATTCATGGCCAACTGTTTGAATGAAGTGGATGCCCGCCCACACATTAACACGGACCCTGCAAACCACTATCATCTACTATCCTTGTTCAGGGTCCATGTTGGTCTGTGGGGGAGTGAGCAAGCCCGGAAGAACAAGAATGAACCCAGGCACAAGGGTCACCGCCAGCGCCAGCGTAAGCCCCACGGGTCCTTCAATCTGCAAACAAAGGACGTCCTGGTGTGTAGATTGAACAAATCCATCAAATGCCTCCATCAAACCAGCCACTAACGACTTCCTGTCCTGGTGCATGGAAGTCGGAGACGTAGGGGAAAACCAAAGCCACAAGGCCTGCCCAACTGGTTCCGACCACGGTGCCAGTCATACCTGGCGTGTCTTCTGCGTGATGCTCAACCTAGTCTGACCAAGCCACCCAAGGCCAGCCTTTGCTTCCAAAGACCTGATAAGTCACACCTTGGGCTATTTCTGGGGGTTCCATGGGGTCCTAGGTTTCAGGCAATGGTTTGAACCATTTAGAAGCCCAACATCTTTGGTTTGCGTAGCTGCTTTCAGATATTTTCAAGATTGTGCATCATGGGAAGTGCCTCATGTGACCTCTCCTGTGGTTGGGTTGATATGTTTTTTTCTACAAGTGGCACTTTGTAGGATCGCTGGGCGCACCTGCTGTTTGGATTTTCTTCAGGACATGTCCAAACAAGCTGAGTCTTCAGTCGCTTAAGGGAGGGAGGGGTCTTTTCCATTGGTCATTGTACTTTATTTCATGGTGATGGTCCAACTTGCAAAGCCAGGTGCTAATCAGCAGCGTTTGGCAGATCTTCATCTTTCTCCCCCAGCCATCTTGCTGTTGCATCCGCAGAAGGCTCATCTTCACGAAGGGCATCAAGAAGGTCACCAAAACGGTGTAGATGGCCCATGGTGCCAGTAGCTCCGAATACTCCGGAAGTGCCAGCTTAAAGATATAACACCAGTTCACCGCCACAATGATAGCTAAAATCCAGGTGAAGATGAAATGAAAGGAGTACAGCTTGTCGATCAAGGCCTCCCCCATGGCTTCGGCCGCAGATGGGCCGTTGGCTTCGGCAATGGCATCACCTTCTTCGGTGTAGTACGGGTGTCGTAGTATGGGATTTCAGCTGGTATGATCAGCTTGGCTGTGTCATGGCACCCGGAGCCCCGCACCCTGCTAGGACCTCCTGTAGGTCGTCTATTCTGTTCATGAAATCGGTGGGCAGGGTCCCCCGGATTGGACCCACAACCATTGCTGAGCTTTGCTTTTGGTTGCTTTTGGTGAACAACGAGATTGCTTTGTGTCTGGGTGGGTTCTGGGTGTTTTTTTTCCTGAGAATCCACTCCTTACAACACCTGTTCACTGCAGAAAGAGGCTGACCGTGACGGCATGATAAAACAAAAATATACATAGTGTCTTGAAATCCATTCCAGAAAAGGTATTGATACTTACCTATAGAGTCTGTCTTGTGCAGTTTGGATGCTTTCGTGATGTAGACGAGATCTTTGTGTTGCTGTACTGATGGTCTTCTCAGCATTGCAATGCTCAAATCTGAGGAGAAACGATCAGCATCTTCCGTGGGTCCTGTCAGTGTCGCTACAATGCTGCCAAACTGGGAGACTTGGAGAGAACATGGGAAAAACATGATGGCATTATGGCATACGACGGACAGTTGGACCAGCACTTTAGACCTCACTTGGGGTTTGTAGACCTCACCGGAAGCATGGAACAATCCGCTATGGACCGGCTCAGTCTGAGACGGTGCTGAAAAATGCATGGAACTCTTTGGGGCTGGTCATGGCACTCCGAACCATCACTAAGTTGACGCCGGTGTGGGTCTTAAGTTGAGGGTTGTTCACTGGAAATTCTCACTCCCGGTTTGAGCACCGAAACGCCTCTTTCTTGGCCTTGTGCTTCCTTGTTTCTGGTGGGAGCTGGACTCGGGGAGCCACTAAGAGCCACTGCCGATGGACTCGCCGTTTCGCCGAGCCGTGGGTGCCATGCACTCACCGCGATGGGCGAAGAACACATTGACTCAACGGATGCCATGGGTGTTTTGTCCCCATTGCGGGGCAAGCCGGGCAATTATGTGTTGAATCGACAGAATCGACAGCTCATCCATGTTGAGAATGGACCTGCCAGAATCTTAGAAGAAACAAGTCAACAGCACTGTGACAACAATGCCAGCAACACACTAATCCTTTAGACATACCTATCATATCCTGTCATATTCTATCTATCTCTATCCCCAGCCTGGTGTGGCAAGGTAAGGTGCCCCTGCACCGTCCTCTAAGTAGCAATATGCCAATACCTTCTGTAATCACAAGGTGCCAAAACAGTGAATGACCAAAGGTTGGAGGTCCAACGTGCATCCATCTTATAACTGCTTGGTGGTTTCAACTCACTGCTTGGTGGTTTCAACTCACCTGATTGAACACATGTGACTAACAGATCTAACAGTGGGTTCAATCGTCCCCAAGGTGCATCAGAAAAATCTCCAAAACCACCACCCAAAGCTCGTCCCCCCTAGCAGGTCTACCGTCTTCCACCTTTCCTCCGTCCTCGCCGCTCCTCCGGTCCCAGGGACGCTTCTTTTCACGCCGCGCTGGGGTAGCCTTTGGCCGCAGTGACGCCATCCAGGACGGAGCCTGAAAAGGTGGACATGGGCCCGAGGGGTCTGAGGCGCTCCCCTCGTCATCGGAGTCTGAGGCGCGGGCGAGGTGTACGGTTTGGGGCGAGGTGTGAGGTAGAGCTTCCCACCAGTGGTGTGGAGATATTAGGGAGCTCCCCATTCCAACCAGAGTCACCCCCAAGTGGTTTCATCACCAAAAACAAGTATTTCTATGCATAAGTTAAGCACATGACTCAGCCCAGGTAGAGGTTGAACATAATTTGAGGACCATAGACCCCGCATATGAAGAGGATGCTCAATTCTTGAAATGGGGGGGTTATTAATCAAGAGTCTACATTAGCAACTAACTAATTGAGCTTTTTTGACCACAAACATTCACCAAGTCGCGCAGCTTCTTGCGGATCTCTTCACATGGCCTGAGCTCCAAAGATTTGAACGTGGCTGCCTGATGAACCGGTGAACAAGGGGGTCCTCGGCAGCGACACTCCCTGAACTCATGGTTACGTGGATTTCACCACCTGTTTCATGGTCCTACCAAGTGCCTTCCTCGAGCGCCTTAAAGTGCCGAGCTCACTGCCGAAAAGCTATCCTAATCATGGACAAGGAGAGAATATGAAAGAACCCGAGAGTTTGTGGACGAATGTCATCTGTCGCCGAACAATGGAGACCCCATGAGACCCCCAAATAGATAGAACAGTATATAGATCATTTCTAAAAAAGTACTGGAAACCAAACCGTTTCTATCTTTTTTGGGGATCACTATAGAGACCTTGAGCTCCAAAGACCCCATGAAAATGCGCGACCTTGAGGTTCTCGTCTGGACCGGTGCGAAGACCAATGAAGCCGTGGTTCACCAACAAACACGACCGTGCCACAGACCAACGTTCCTTCGCTTGTCCGCAATGAACATGGACTTGTATCACTTGTATCATCTTCATTCGACTCACCCCGAAAATGGACGCACACCCCCCCCATTTCGCTTGAACAAACATCTGATGGCGGGAGTTTCGCGGGCCTCGGGAGGGTTTTTTCGGACATCTTGGGACCCTGGAGTGGCCTTTTTCAGCCGGCCGAGGGCAGTCAGTGAAAATGGACGTGCAAAGCTGCAGTTTCAAACAGAACAAACCGCCCCTGCTCAGTTGAAACTGAAAGATCAAAACATACCAACACTCTCTCTCTCTCTATATATATATATATTTGCGATCTGTAGAGCCCAGCTATATAGATCCAAAGGCCCCTGATTCCTTCCGCCCTTCGGCGGCAGCTTTGACGTTTGATTCGACTGGCCCAGTGGCATGTCACGCCCAGGGATCGGGTAGACTTCTGGAGAGCGCAGCTTCAAAGCCTCCAACGACTCGTCGTGTCGACTCCGAGTCGCCTCGACGTCCGTCGTCCCGTGATGACCGAGTCAATGAGAAGTCTGTCCCGACTCAAAGGGGCTGAGTTCATTTTTGGAGTTCATATGCTTTCTCTAGGGTAGCAGTCATGAGTCCTTGAACAACCAAAATCGACAAGGATTTCTTCCGGAAGAAGCACCGGTCCGGTTTTGGTAGGGGCTGTCTCACGAAGAAACATGTCAGGACACTCCTTGGAGATGAGCGGAAGAACATGCTCAACCAACATGTAATGCACGCAGACGGTAAAATGTTGATTTGTGATGATTCGTGAATAAACCCCACAAGCCTGAAATGGATTTAGGAGAGCCAATGGCTGGGCGGTCATATTTAAAAAAGCAGCCCACATGATGAGAGTGGGGAACTGAAGGGATAAAAACACACAACACAAGCGAAACAGCATCACCACAGGTCCTTCGAGGTGTGAGGCTGGTTCTATAACACTTGCCAGTTGGAGTAGTCTTGAGCTGGAAAGTTTCTTTTCCATTGCTTTTCCATTCCTTTCGAGCTGGAAAGTAACGTAAATGAAAACACCATTGCTGCCACTTTGACCTTCAGTTTTTGCACACATTCGATGACATCCTTCTGCAACCAGGCTTTTGAATGTAATCTGATCTATGACACCTATGAAAAACTGCTCGTGACCGCGCCCCCTCTTCAAAAGCGCAGGACCCTTCTGATTCTAGTGCACTTCTAGTGGCTATGGGGGTTCGTCAATGAAGGACACAGTGGTCATATGTGTCATCCCCCAATGCTGATGTTTCATCCTGTTGTTAAACACAATCCTACCATCGACCCAGAAAACTGGTTCATGACACCGCTATGCTCCTTGTCGTGATGTAATGTAGTCCCTTGATTAATAAACCCCCCCCCCCTCAACAGCCAAGGCCTCCAAAATAATGTATAAGAAAATCAATCAGTTGATAATTAAATAAGGAATCCTTAGCTAGCTACCTCTGGAGCTACTCTGGCAATATTAAATTAAAAGGAAATAAGAATTCCTAACTTTGAAGACCTCTGGCAATATTAAATTAAAAGGAAATAAGAATTCCTAACTTTGAAGACCTCTGGCAATATTAAATTAAAAGGAAATCTCAAATTTCTTAATAGAAATCTCCATCCAAAAGCCTCCAAAAGCATCAAATCTCAATGGACATCTCCAAATTTTCAATAGAAATCTCCATCCAAAAGCCTCCAAAAGCATCAAATCTCAATGGCAATCTTCAAATGTTTAATGGAAATCTCCATCAAAAGGCATCCAATCTCAATGGAAATCTCCAAAATTTCAATGGACATCTGAAGCAGCAACAGCAACAGCAGCAACAGCATTGGAAGGGTGGGTTGAGAGATGTTCAATGAGTTGTAGCACTTTAGAATCTGGAATATTGAAGCCTTTGAGCCTTGCCTTCCAGCTTCAACCCCCCCCTCACTTGTTTGCAGGAAACACAGTGGTGGAGATGTTGAAGGCAAATCCTTTTAAGAAGGAAGAAAAGGCTTCAAAGAAAGATTGAAGAAGAGTTGAAGAAAGCTTGGAGGGGTGTCATTTCTAGATTGCAGAAAGCTTGAAGAAAGCTTGAAGCGCACCCTTAGTTTGAGCTTGGGTGTCCAAAAAGGTTTTAGGTTCAGCAGGATGTTTTGCAGAGTTTTGCAGCTTGAAGAATGGTTTGGTAGAGAGCTTGCAGTTTGAAGGGCTTTGCAAGGGTGCACTTTGAAGTTTCTTTTTGAGGGAGTTGCAACTTGCAGCATTCAGTTGAAGTCTGTTTTGCAAGGGCTTGCAGCTTGAAGAATGGATTTGGAGGGGGTTGCAGCTTGCAGCATTCAGTTGAAGCTTGCAGAAACAGCAGCTTTCAGCTTTTCAAGTGGGCCTTGCAGCGCGTGACTTTCAGCCTGGGATTTGCAGCACCTTGAATGACATTAGACTACAAATCTTTGGTGTTTCCAATGGTCCAAAGGTTTCTTTTTTGAAGGTTTCCTTTTTAGATTCATTTGGGGAGCTTGTTCAGGCCATGGCTTTGAGCAGCTTCTTGGTGAAGATCTTTGAGGGCTTCCAGGCTGCCTTGGAGATGCTTGGGTGGCTTCTAGGCCACCTTGCAGTGATCCTTACAGCTTGGCTGGTTGGAGTTGGCAGCTTGGAATTATTTGGCAAACCTGTTTTTGAAGATTCTTTGGCACCATTGAAAGAGCTGGTTCTTTGTTTCAAGAACCATTGAAAGCAGCAAAGGCATTGGCCACTTCCAGCTCCTTTCACCTCACTTCCAGAACTGGGGTGGCTTTGCAGATGCCTTGCAGGTGGCTTTGCAGATTGAAGCTGGGCTACATATTCAAGTAAAAAAGTTTTCAATATGAAGTTGCCAGGAAAAGTTTTATTTGACTCTTTACCATTGGTCATGGTGTTTAAAGGACACTTGCAAGGCAAACACCATTGATATTTTGAACTTAGGTGCATGTCTTTGCAGTGTGCCTTGGACTCTTCAAGATGGTCAGATTGCAGAGCGCGCTTGAAGACATCTGGTTTGAAGTGGAAGGCATCAAGAAGGAGAGCCACTACATTGGGCAGAAGGTCTGCTACATTGAAAGCAGCACTTCAGTTGGATTAGAAAAGTATTTGCAGAGTTGTTTGTGCTTTTCCTTTCTTTTGTAGTTTTTCTGCGCATGAGTTTTTAGTTTTCTGAATGATCAAAGCCTTTCTAAAGAACAGCTTTCAATCCAAGGACAGGACTCTGCAAGTGGCAAATGCTCTGACAGCATCAGGCACTTGCAGCAGCACTTGCAGACCTTTGACAAGAGCTGCTTGGCTTTTCTCAGAAGGTTCTTTTTGCAGCTGGGCTGTTTTTTGGAGAATTCTTCTGATAGTATTAAAGAATACTGTTAGGTTGATGGGTTTTGAAGACCTTGTGCAACTAAGGCCGTGGAGGAGGCCAACTTTTCAAGTCTGGCCTCCTGGATTTGAGGCCTCCCTTCAATGGCTCATCATGTGAGGCCTACATGAACCTTGGCTTTCTTAGTGCCTACAGCTGAAGTTTTTCTTTTTTGTTGAAGTCTTATTTGGCTTGCTTCAAGCTTCACTTGAAGCCAATGAAGACAAACCAAGGGCAGAGTGGGACCTCATGATTTGGGAGAGCTGCACGGGCTTGCAGAATGACATCTTTTACAAGAGGTTCCAGTATGCATCCTGGCTGTTGCAGTTCTTTTTTGCTTCCACCCCCAACCAATAGTTATAGTTATAGATATTCTTGGATCTGTGAAGCTCTGCAATCATAGGCAAGCCTTGGAGCAGAGCAGCCCCAAGATGAGAGGGAGGAGGACTTGAAGGTGCTGGAGAACACTTGCAGGCCAGAGATCAATCTTGTGAGGTTTCTTCCAGAACCTTGGCATTAGCTGTAGCCAGTGGTTATTTAAGTTGGTTTTCACCATTAAATAGGTTGTTTAATCAGTTATGTTTCTTTGCAACATTTTCATTGGGAGCTTTTGCTCATTAAAAAGTTTGTTCATTTTCTTGGTTGGGGCAACTTCACTCAGGACAGGGCAGTTCAAGATCTTCAGCAGGCTTGCAGCCCTTGGAGCGCACTTCCAGAGATGACCAACTACAGGCTGACAAGGTTGGAGGATGCCAAGAAGCTTGGAATCTGAACCTTTTAAGTTTTCTTTTTGAACTGAACCTTTCAAGCTTTCCTTTGCTCCCATGGCTGGAAAGCTTGAAGCTAAGGGCAAAGGCTGAAGCCTTGGGGTTGGAGTGGGCCAAGCTTGCAGTGCTGCCAGTGGTTGAAGCCATTCCAGATTGGAACACAGGCCTTCAAGTATCTTGGACTGTGTTCACTTGTTTGCGCATTCTTTTTTGCTTTTTTGGTTGTGGGTGTTTGGTTCCAGCTTAGTTTTTAGTTTGTTGTTGGCTGGCTTGTGCATCTAAGGTGGAGTACTTCAAGTCCAGAGCTGCAGCTGCTGAGGGCAAGGGGGCTTCAAGTGGGGACCTGATTGAAGACCCCAAGAGCTTGAAGCCCAAAGATTTGAAGTCTGCAGATTTGCAGGGCGCTTGAAGCCAGCTGATTGAAGAGCTGGTTGAAGATGTTTTTGCAGGAAGTCAGAAAACCATTTGAGTGAGACTTCATAGCTGTGCATTCAAGACTTGTTCAATTTGAGCTTCAATTTGGAGTTGCTCATTCCAGACTTGTTCAATTTGAGCTTCAATTTGGAGTTGCTCATTCAAGACTTGTTCAACTTGAGTTTCAGGGGCGCATCTTCAAGACTTCCAGTGTTTTGCAATTAAGGAATCAGGATTGCTGGCCTATTTGTAGTCATTTCAGTGTTCAAAAGTTGAAGCAGTGTGCTTTGCTTAGAAGCCCAATGGTTGTAGTGAACTATCTTGGATGCCATGGGTGGCTATGGATTTCTATTTCAGTCTTTCAGACCTCTGCAGAGGGTGGCTTCCAGAGGCCCTTCCAGACCACTGTTTACAGATGGTGTTTGCGCAACAACAGGTGGGGGTTAAGAAAATCTTCCTAGTGTTGTTCAAGGGCTCAACCAAATAAATACAGTAATTAGGGTTCCAATAGTTTTTTTCAGCAAGGTCATTCTATCCAGATTATCCAAAACCCCTCCGGTGGCAGTGGTATCAATTGAGCTATGCTGAGATTGAAGACCTTGAAAACAAGGTGTTGGAGTGGGAACAGGATTGTTGGAGATCCCACTTTGTGCAAAGGATTTCAAGAGACATGGGAATTTGGAATCTTTACATGGAAGCCCTCACATTAGACTATGTAACCCAAATTGTATATATTCATTACTTGGGATTTCATCCAAACAGGTTTGGTATTTGGGGGAGGTTTGAAGATGAGTAATTGGTTGGAGTGGGCAGCAATCCTTTCAGGGCTGGCTCCTTGCAGGTGATGCTTCCTTTGCAGATTGAAGAGCCAAGAAAGATTGAAGGTTTCATGTGTTCAAGGGTTTCCTTTTG